TATCTACCTGCGTAGCACTCTTGCCCTGACGACTATGCGAGAAGTGTTCTTGACTTCGACCTGGACGGCAACAGCACAACGTGACCATTCTGATATGATATGATGATGCGTCTATTTCTCTCCCGCCGAGTGATAAGAATTTCCCTCTGTCGCACGATATCATCTAGGAAAGAGAGGTTCTCTTCGACCCAAGGCGGTCGTTTCCTGTTTCCAATCTATCTATCCTCTGGTCTACAGTCAGTCTGTCAGCATCGGTCACAGTCAGCATCATTTAAACATGAACATGTCTGGATACGAAGACTTGATCATAGTATGATGATGACATTGACTCAGACTCAGAGATTTGGACTCAGACTTGGACTTGGGCTGTATGATCTGATCTGATCTGATCTGATCTGACACATTAATTATTACCTTATCTTCCTTCTTCCTTGTCTATCTACCTTGTCATCATCCTCATCCTCATTATCCGTCAGGTTTTATGACGGATGGATCCAACGCGAGCAGAGCATTAGGAAGGCGTTCTTGTATTATCCATATTATTATTTTACTCGTATGACTGGTTAACTACATAAAAAGGCGGGTTGGTTATGTAATCTAATCTTATTGCTATGGTATGCTATGGATTTTGTCTTGGGGGCTTTTTTTTTGTGTGTGTGTGTGTGTGTGTGTTGATTGATCGATTTCTTGTTTTGTTATTCGATCGGAATGAAATAAAGAAAGATTTAAATAAAGGATTTAAAAAGAAGGATATGGGAAGGTAAAAAAAAAAGAGGATAATGGAATCATATCGGGTCATATGTACATATCAGATCGAATCAATCAAAGCAAATCAAAGCAATGTCATGTTATGTCATGACTGATAGATAGATAGATATATTAGATATATTATTGTCGGAAGATTCCAGTGCGCTCAACATCCATCTGTTACCATGGAAGTTTCAGAACATCAATCAAAGAGCTTAAAGAAAGAAATAGGATGGATGTATTTTTAGAAGAACTTCTTTATGCAGGCATAAATTAAATTAAAAGATGGCTAGATTTAGCTACATTTATAGACTGCTAGAGATGATACCTACCTATTAATAATTATTATGGAACGTTGCAGCAACACGGATCTGATATATATCTACACAGATATATATCGACGCAAGCGATGAGTATGGCTGGACTATGCTTTTCCCTCTTTTTTTCTGGACTAGACCACTAGAACTCGAGTCCCTAATAGATAAATAAAATAAATATTTGAAAATAACATGGCTGGAAGTGAACAGTCACGATGATTGTATTTTAATTAATTAGTGGTTCTTCTGTTCCATTCTGACTCTCATTTACTCATTGATTAATATTCTCTTTCTCTCTCGAGAGAAAAGAGGTGAATATCCAACGAACAGTCCTGCATTATCCATGCATGCATGCATGTATGTATGTATGTATGTAGTATATACATTACATACTTGACCTTCCTGCCTGCCTGCTTTCCTGAGATATATAGATAGGTAATATAGGCCAGTATCAAACAAATCCATCAACATCATCCAGTTCCAACAACATCCCAATTCCACTTTTTTCTCCTTTTGTTTTCACCATGGTCATTTTTCGAGAGGGGAAAGGAAGAAGAAAGAAAAGACAACAGCTACAACCCATTCCTGTGCATTGAATGACAAGATATCCAACCAAAAAGGATCAATGATGAGCGATGAACGATGAAAAATACGACTCAACATGACTGAAAACACCGGCATAAAATGGGAATATTGTCAATATATATCCAGTATTATCAATCAGTAGATCACCAATCATTAAGGCAAGAAGATAAATGTAAATCAGGAAATGCGTTGACGCGACTAAAAATCACTGAAAAACGGCTCGTACTTCTCCTTCATCTCATCCGTGTAGATACTCAGCGTCCTCGGATCCGGAGGCGGAGGGTATTCTTCGAAATTGCCCGCGTCGGCCGGATGGTCTACCCGCGGAATGATGGGCCCCTTGACTCGACGGTGGTACAGGTCATCCCAGTTGATCCCGTCGAAGAAAGGATGCTCCTTGACTTTCCTGGCCCCGCCCATGATGTGCCCCAGCCGCGCCGCCTGGTTCGTCTGGCACAGCTGCGAGACAATATTCACGGCGGCCGGAGGCATGTTCGGCGGATACCGGATACGTCCCTCGACGATCTGCTCGTAGATCCGCATGGGGTTCTGGTCCCAAAACGGCGGCTGGCCGACCAGAAACTCGTAGATCAGGATCCCCAGCGCCCACCAATCCACCGCCAGCCCGTGGCCGCTGTTGTGTATCACCTCCGGAGCGAGGTACTCGGGTGTCCCGCAGAGCGTGTACGTCTCGCGATCGTTCACCTGCTTCGCAAAGCCAAAGTCGACCAGTTTGATGTGTCCATCTGCGTCGAGAAGGATGTTTTCGGGCTTGAGGTCGCGGTACGCGACGCCTTGAACATCGTGCAGATACTCGATCGTGAGCGTGATCTCGGCAGCATAAAATCTCGAGGTCGCCATGTTGAACCGTCGTGCACGTCGTAGAAAGCTAAATATCTCGCCCCCGGGGCAATACTCCAACTGCAATCGGTTAGAAAGCTGTCGCCAGGCAGGAAACTCTGTCTGTCTACATACCACCATGTACAGGCATTGGTCGTCCGAAAATGTTGTGACCAGAGTGGTTATGAATGGATGGCCGGCGACAGCCGCGAGGGTCTTACGCTCGTTGCGCACATGCTCGACTTGTTTGAGCTTGATAACTGTCAAGAAAGGAAGGACCCATTAATTCTTTTATGTCTCGACGGAGACAGCTTCTGAGTGAAGCTCCTTACTGTCAGCTTTGCGCAGGACTTTCAACGCATAGACTCGATTGTCATTTTGGCTGCCGTCTTTCAGGCGCGTGAGCCATACCCGGGCAAAGGTCCCTGCTGACATTAGTCGGGAAAGGAATTAACATCCCAAACGAACATACCGGTTCCCAGCGTCTTGATGAGCTCAAAATCATCGATTTTGAGGCTTCGAGAGGCGATTCCCAGCTGCCTTGTCTCCGGGTTTTCTGAGGCCTGGGACACGGGCACAGCGGAAGTTCCAAGGTCTCCCTCTTTCTCGTCGACCCTCGTCTGCGATTCGGAAGCGATCAACTGGCCGTGAACACCATCATGTGTCGTAGCTTGGACTGTTTCCGTAGCCATTGCGACAGCTAGAGGTCATGTCTCACCACGGGGAAACGGACGCCAGAAAAAAAGTTCGGACACTGGGGAAAGGGAAGCCAATTGCGTCTGCCAGAGAGCAAGCCCGGGATCAGAGGCACAGGCGAGGCCATTCAATTGACGTGACGGGCAGGCCAGCAAGGGGCGAGGCATACAGACCTGGCATGATGAGGGGCTGCGAGTCGGCCGTGACACTCGAGCTGTCTCAGCTAGCTTGGAGATCCCGTTGGGGCTCTGACGTACGTCGTATTAGCGGGGCCGCCCGACTACTGTCTTCTCCGCCTCCAGATCGCTCGAAACAGTCAACCAACATCGTCTCTGGGGCTTGATTGGGTCATGCTGCTGAGGGAGAGGGAGATACTCTCCGAAGTCATCCTTACGCCAGACCAGACACACAGAGAAGCATTAAGAGAAGCATTAAGGCAACCAAATGCAGAAATCATATCATTACGCTGTATGCTTGCAATAAGACAGAATCTATGCCATCACGCTGAGAAGCAGACTCCCGCGCCAGCCGAGAAAGGCCCGTTCTCTACCTAGTACACGGAGGAATTATCCTGAAGAAGTACCCCTGGCATCCACCACTCGCAGATTCCCTCTGCTTCCGTCTGATCTAGACTCCCACCCACGCGGTGCGGAGCGTTATCAGCATGAGTGTTGCTACGCCCAGTTTCGCAAGATAGATACGCCAAACAATCTTCAAGCGAGCTGATCAATCACCCTTAGCTGCGGGAGTTGAGAATGAGGCCGACAATCAGCCTAGACCCAGTCAGCGGCAGTTCTGCGGAGTGCATGCAGAAAGGACAGGGGTCCTACCCGTAGAGCCCAAGCACTTCGCCAAAAATCAGAATCAAGATCATTCCCACGTAAACGCGCGATTGTTGCATGTATGCCCGCACACCCTCAACCCGCCGTCAGCACCAGTCGTAGCATCAAAGAGGTCATCGGGAATCTTACTGCGTCTCCTACGATCCCGATCGCGTATCCGGCTGCCACACCAGCCAACCCGACCGAAAGGCCGGCTGCGAGATGCATGAAACCCCTAAATCAACCGAGAATAAATATCCACCATCGTCTCGAGATTCAGGCCCTTGGACACATACGTATACAGGCTCAGATGCGCGCTGGGAGGCGGCTGCACGGCTCCAGCGATGAGCACCGCAATGACGAGACCGTAGACCGCAATAATACCAGACATAACCACCGGGATCAACGACTGCCGCCAGTCAGCATGCCTTCTGTGCTCTGCAGCAGGTCCTCATGCCTTCATGATCAAGTCAGGCCGGAATGTGCCCACTCCCGCAATTCCAATCCCGGACTTGGCTGTCCCATACGCTGCGCCCATTGCTGTGCTTCGTGAGTGGTTAAGTCCTAGTGCGCGGGGACGGTGGAAGCCTCGACATACACCCGAAGATCATCTTCGAGCGTGTTAGCACCATTGCGTCTCGCAGGCTGGCGTCGATCAGGGACTTACTGCAGCGGCAATCCCCGCCTGTCGTATCAAGTCAGTGGCAGCTCGCAGAGGATAAGACGCTGTGGAGGGAACCTACAAAGGAGAAGAAGGGGGCGAACTTGGGTGAATACTCGCTGTCCGCCATGGTGGAAGAACCGTTCGTTCGACAGAAATGGACCGTAGAGACTGCACTGCGGTGCTCTTACTGTGTCTGACGTGTGCTGAGAACGAGGTCGAAGAGGTCGACTGCCGCTGGACAGGCTGGCCACGGCACAAAGGGGGGTGTCGAACCGCGGCACTTCATCCACAGGCCGATTTGACGGGCGTGGGCCAGGACAGCAGTAGTAAAATCGCGAGAGAAAACAGAAGATACAGCAGCAGGACGGCGGTGATGCCACTGCCTGGGAGCGGAAGCCGTTGGGCCCGGAAACTTCCAAGTTGCTCGCCCGGGCCGCCGTACGGGGCTAGCCCAGCCTGCGCCAACACAAGTTCCAACCCCGTGCGTGCTTTTCCATCACGGACCACCTGCTACGAATCACCTCGCCCTCACCTCACCTCGCCCACGCTCCAATCCTCCCCAAACATCCCGTTCCTCATCCGCCCACCTCGTGCTCGCCTGACTTGCGCCTGCTCGCTCCATTGAGCCTGCTCGACCGCCTCTGAAGGATGCTGAGGGTATGACTGCAGGCGCCCTGTTCTGCGGTTGCGCCCACGGCTCCTTGCGCCCATCATCGGTCGTTCGATCTCGAGGCCGCCTCTCTCCTCTGCCGTCCTCCTCGAGCCCTCAGCCCGCGTCTGAGGCATGATTCTGCGCTGAAATCGCCCTTGTGCTAGGGTCCCTGTTGCCATCCATCCTTCCTCCCGCTCTCGACCCTCGTTCTTCGCTCCTCCCGGTCTCGATTCATCCGGGCTCTTATCAAGAGTCCTGCATGTGACCCCTCTCCGCGACCCATTCGATCCGTTTTGCTATCCTACGTGCCCTCGATATCGCCAGCTTGATCGTTGCTGATAGTGATACTGCTGTCTCGGAAGACTTCGGTGCGACATGGCTGATCTGGGCTCCCAGCAGGGTCGGAACTACCGGCCCATGCCCAACCCATATACATCCTCCTCCTCTTCCTCCCACCAGCGTGATGCTGCCTTTTCCGAGATCTTTGGCGGAGCTCCGCCCCCGGGTCGGTCGCAGACAATGACATCGCAAACCCCTCAGTTCAACCATGATCGGGCGCACACGATGAGTTCCAATGTCCCTCCCCCCCAGATGCAGAGGGGCCCGGCACCGCCAGTCCGACAGATGCAAAGTGACTACAGATCAACCGCTGCCAATGGCTACGGACAACCAAATGGACCCGCGTCGTCATCTCAGGCTTCTCCACGACCTTATCCTGGACGCTCGCAGTATCCGCAGCCACAGCGGTTGGATGCCAGACCCGGCCCCGTACCCCAGTATCCAACCCCCCAACCGCAAAGCCGTCCGGGTCCTCCTCCAGCCTTGAATTCCGACGCCTACCGATCGCGTTCGATGGCAAGAATGGGCGGACCACCGTCGTACCAGCCGCCCCCAAGCACGGCCAATGTTTTCCGGCAACAGCCGTATCAGTCCTCTGTGGCGAGAACTCCTCAAGGGCGACCTGTTCCGGAAAGGCACAGCAATGAACGCGCCATGTCGCTCAGCTCCTACTCGACCGATCGTGATTATGCTCAGACTACCATGACCGGCAGAGTGATCCCCAACCGACGGCCCCCGTCCGGCCCCGAGCTAGCACACCAACAGCAGCAGCAGCAGCAGCAGCAGCAGCAACCGGCAGGGGAGGCTGAAAGCAACCACGATGGGGCTTTCCGGGCGCGGCGTCCGAGTGAAGCGTCGGTGACATCTCGCACCATGTCCATGGCGTCAACCATCGCTGGGGATCGAACTATGAGCATGCAGAGCAAACCAGTCCAGAAATCGAGCAGTCAATCGACCAATTCAACTGCAACGACGGCAGCTCCGCCTCATCGCAGTAGAAAACCCCTGGTCTACCCGGCCTTGCTCTCCCGTGTTGCAGATGTTTTTCGAGAGAGGATTCCACTGGGGGAGCGACAGAAAAACGGCCTGTCGTACCAAAATGCATTTTCAGGTGCTGAGGCGGTGGATTTGATCGCCTACATCATCAAAACGAACGATCGAAACCTCGCTCTTCTTCTGGGACGTGCTCTTGATGCCCAAAAATTCTTCCATGATGTGACGTACGACCATCGTCTCCGAGATTCGCACGTGGAGATCTATCAGTTCAAAGAAACCCTGACAGAAGAGGCCCCGAGCTCCGAAGTCAACGGTGTCTTCACGCTATTGACCGAGTGCTACTCTCCTACGTGCACGCGCGACAATCTCTGCTATTCCATTGCTTGTCCCAGGAGACTTGAACAGCAGGCCCGGTTGAACTTGAAGCCTCAGTCCGGTCTGCGATCCTCTTCCTCCAAGGGTAGTCTCCATGGTGATGATGAAAACGAGAATCAGAGGCTCTGGATCAACATGGTCCCCAAGGAAGTCGCGGACAGCATCGATGACCGAGAGAAGAAACGCCAGGAAATTATTTTCGAGATCATGTATACTGAGCGTGATTTCGTGAAGGATCTCGAATATTTGCGAGATTTCTGGATGAGGCCTCTACGCTCGGCCGGCAACACCAATCTCTCCCCGATCCCGGAGCATCGGCGAGAGAAATTCATTCGAACCGTGTTTGGTAACTGCCTGGAAGTCTTGAAAGTCAATTCGGGCCTCTGCGAAGCTCTGAATGCCAGGCAGAAAGAAAGTCACGTTGTCCGGACGATTGGTGACATCTTCCTTCAACATGTCCCCAAGTTCGACCCATTCATCAAATACGGCGCGAATCAGCTGTACGGCAAGTACGAATTCGAAAAGGAGAAGGCTTCGAACCCAGCATTTGCTCGATTCGTGGAAGAGACAGAGCGTCTCAAGGAGTCTCGTAAACTGGAATTGAACGGTTACTTGACCAAGCCAACGACGCGCTTGGCCAGATACCCTCTCCTTCTCGAACAAGTCCTCAAGTACACCGCCGACGATAACCCGGACAAGCAAGACATCCCCAAGGCAATCGGGTTGATCAAAGATTTCCTGCAGAGAGTCAACACCGAAAGTGGGAAGGCGGAAAACCACTTCAATCTCGTCCAACTCAACGCCGCGTTGAAATTCGCGCCAGGTGACTACGTTGATCTGAAATTGACCGAGGAGAATCGTCAGATGCTCACCAAGATGGCTTTCAAGAAAACCCCAACTGACAGTTCGGAAGTTACGGTGTATCTTTTCGATCACGCCGTTCTGTTAGTCCGCATTAAGGTGGTTAACAAACGAGAGGAGTACCGAGTTTACAGGAAGCCTATTCCTCTCGAGCTTCTCGTCATTACACAGATGGATGAAGTCATTCCAAAGTTGGGAATCTCGAAAAGACCGTCATCGAGTCTGATCCCAGGAAATAAGACTACCAACAATCCTCCAACTCCAAAAGATGGGCTACCGATTACTTTCAGGCATCTTGGCAAGGGAGGTTACGATCAGACCCTCTACGCTACATCCCCCCAACAGCGAAAGAAATTTATCGAGATGGTGGAGGAGCAGCAAAGGAAGCTCAGAGAGCGGAACAGTAACTTTTACTCCAAGACGGTTCTTTGTGAGAATTTCTTCACCACGGTTAATCGAGTCAATTGCTTGGTGCCTATCGGTGAGTTTCGGGAGACAGAAGTATTTTTTTTCTGGATTTCGCTAACTTGGCTTTAGATGGTGGTCGAAAACTGGTCATTGGCACGGATAATGGCATATATGTGGCGGATCGCTGGCCGAAAGATAAAAATGCTAAACCACGGAGAGTGCTCGACGCGAGTGGGGTTACTCAGATTGATACTCTAGAGGAGTATCAGCTGCTTCTGGTTTTATCTAACAAGACACTCAGTTCGTATCCAATGGAGGCCCTAGAAGCAACTGATGGCCAAAACTCCCTGGCTCGTCGGCCAAAGAAGATCCAGGGACACGCGAACTTTTTCAAAGCTGGCATTGGGCTTGGACGACATTTGGTATGCTCCGTCAAGACTTCTGCTCTCTCGACTACTATCAAGGTGTTCGAGCCTATGGACAATCTCGCCAAGGGAAAGAAGAAGCCGGCCATCAGCAAGATGTTCCAGGGAGGCCAGGATACTTTGAAACCCTTCAAGGTTGGTTCAGTTTCGTTCTTCGGCTTGGACATTAGGACATGCTTGCTAACATACCTCCGCACCGCCAGGAATATTACATCCCGGCAGAATCATCATCTGTTCACTTCCTTCGTTCGACGCTGTGCGTTGGCTGTGCTCGAGGCTTTGAGGTTGTCAGTCTTGAAACGACCGAAAGTCAATCGCTTCTGGATCAGGCCGATACTTCGCTTGATTTTGTCGCACGGAAAGAGAATGTCAAGCCAATCCACATTGAACGAATGAACGGAGAATTCCTTCTCAACTACAGCGATTTCTCCTTCTTTGTCAACCGCAACGGATGGCGGGCCCGGCCTGACTGGAAGATTTCGTGGGAAGGCAACCCCAATGCCTTTGCACTGTCCTATCCGTATATACTTGCCTTTGAACCGAACTTCATCGAGATCAGGCACGTTGAGACGAGTGAGCTGATTCACATCATGACGGGTAAGAATATTCGCATGTTGCATTCATCAACGAGAGAGGTATGTGATCAGCCCGAATCTTTGGCCAGAATTCCATTTATTTCTGACTGTTTACGTGCAGATTCTGTATGCCTACGAAGACGAAGCTGGTGAAGATGTAGTAGCGAGTCTGGACTTCTGGAACAAACCACGTTCTAATGATAATTAGAAAAAGAAGGATTTGGCAAGCTGTGTGAGATACCTGAAATTTGTTCTTATACTTTTTTTTCTTTTTTTTTCCCTCTCTCCGTAGATAAAGTCCCTATTCTGTTTGTTACTGGATTGGATTTTGTTTTTTTGTTTTTCTTCTTTTCCACAAATCTTGCATCGCGAATACCATCCTGTTTTCATCTCTTCTCGCGCGGCGACAAGTTCTGTTTTCAATCCATTGTTTTTTGTGCCTTTTCCTCCCCCACCCCTTCTCCATTTAATAAGTATTTTTCCCCCTTTCGTGTTCCATTTTCCCATTTTTCCTTGTCACTCCAAGCGCCGTGCATTGTTTGTTTTTTCTAAAAAATTTTTTTTGTTGTTTATTATGTACACTGAAGTGCAAATGGCATTTGTTTGTTTTTTTGTTTTGATTTGATTTTTTTTCCCTCAACCCTTTTTTCTGTTATTGTATTCTTCTCTTTTCCCTCTGCCCTGCTCCTCTGTATCTCTGTATTGTGTGCTCTGACAGATTTCTCTCTCTCTCACATCTATCCTCTATGGATAAAAAGAGAGAGAAAAGAGAGAAACCATCCATCCATATCCATATCCATGTCCATGATATCATATCATTATCATATCATATCATATTATACCACTGCAGTCAGTAAAGCTAAAGCTTCCTCTTCCTTCCTAGTATCGATACTTACTTCTCTTCTTTCCGTTCCGTCCTTGTTGTTTGTGATCCTCTCTCTCTCGAGCCCGCGCGCCCTCTCCCTCTCCCTCTCCTCCGTCCGTCTATCTACCTACCTTGCCTACCAACCTATATCTATCGATCTATCTATCGATTTATCCCTCTGTATTGTGCTGTGTAAGAAAGACCTTGATATTGAACAATCGAACAATTACAAAATGGGTACTACTATCATTCCGAAATATTGTTAAATTACTGAGAAGTGTTTCCTTCTTGTGGGACCATGGAGCACACACATACAGACAGACAGCTAGAGCAAACCAAACCAAACCAAGAAAACAAAAACCAAGGTATAAAATTAAGATTCTTAGTAATTAGTAGCAGGAGTAGCCTTTTGAAGTCTCACTCCTACTGTACATTAATTATTACAATCCCATTCTTTTCAAAACTTCACGACTTCAGCAAAGTGATTATAAAATTTGAAAAGTGCTGCAAATGGATGATGAACTGGAAATGCTAGAGTAAAAAAAAGGAAATTTGACAACAAAATGCTGCCAAATGACCCGTTAGAAGGACTCGCCCCAGTGACATTACTTGACCTGCATTCGAGGCTAGAGGACTAAATACTGAGATACTTTTTCTTCCCTCGCCCTTGGCTGTCCGACGTTAAGAAGGAAGACATCACACAAGTTTTTTTGCCACAACAGAATAAAGACAAGAACAGAAGGAAAAGGGAATCTTTGCACTGCTAAGCTGAGGAGAGAGAAAATCTTGATACCGAAGGAAAGCTGAGGGAGCGGACCAAGTGAGAAGGCAAATAAGAAAGGAAAAGTAATGGTAGGGAGATGCCGGGAGAAATATTCTTCGGAGGTGACGGTTAAGTCATTAAAAAGGTGTTATTTCCAACCCGGATATTATCACCCAGGTGCTCAAAAACAAGATCTCTGAGAAAAAAAAGAAAAAAAAAGAACAAGGCACAAGACATTCAAGAAGAGAATAGGAAAAGTCACTAGAGAACGTCAAAAAGTGGAAACACAGGTGGGTCGCGTTGTCTGCGCTACCGGTTGGATATCGATAGGCTAGACCTCTGTATCCTCCCTTTCTTGTTAACGCTGGCCAGCGCTGTATCCGCTCCACCCACTCCCGAGCTGCTCTCCGGGTCCCAGAATCATAGACAAGAGTGAGTGCATCACACCAGCATTAGTAGCATAAAAACCGGCATGACATCTTTCACTCCCCACATCCATTCGTCCACAGGGGTATATTCTAAGACTCTCCGTTGACCGACTCGCTGCTGTTGGCAGCAAGGTGGGCGCTTGCCTCGCGCTGCATGCGCGCCTCGATTTCTCGAAGCTGGCTTTCGCGAGCCAGCAGCTCCTGGCGCTTCTCGTTGATCTCGCGCTGCACCTTGAGCTCGATTTCGCGAAGCTTTTCCTCCTCGCGGCGAAGCTGCTCCTCCTTCAAGCGGACCGACTGAGTAGCCAGATCCTCGGGGTTCATAGAAGAGTCTTGGTTGCTGTTGCATGTGATTAGCTCAAGCACGCACATGATACTTGAGGAAAACAAGAGGATACGTACGCTGGCACACCATCCACGCTCTTGCTGAGCTTCTCGGTACGGTAGTTTTCGTAGAGGAAGTCGTGAGTGATCTCCTTGAGGTCGGCAAGATGGCTGTGGAGAAGAGCGCTGCGGATGGCCAGGAAGTCGGAGTGACGGGGATTCTCGACCTCCACCACACCCCACGGGTACTGTCTCGCCCGAACCTTCTTACCACCGATTTCCAAAATGTCCTCAGAACCCACAATCGCGAACGGCATCAGACTACGGAGTTCGGCGTTCTCCTCGACAGTGTCCTCATCATCCTCTTCGATGTCGTAGGGGAAGTTGTAGATGGGGATGCGGTAGTGCTCAATGTCCTCCATGATCAGTTTCTTGGACTCTGCCAGCTCGGCGGGAGTGAGAGAATCGGCCTTTCCGATGACGGGAATCACGTTAACACGAGGGGACAGCCGCTTCATCAATTCAATGTCCAGCTCCCGCAAACCATGGCCGGTCGGGGTGATGAAGTAGAGGAGAGCATGGACTCGGTTGTCCCTGAAGCGGGGGTTACGCTTAATTCGCGACTCTTCAGCGAGAATATCGTCGTATTGGCGCTCGAGGTATCCGACAATCTCCGAAAAGCTGGCGAGATATTAGCCATAACGCATTCTTCTTTCGACGCGAATCCTGGCCACTGGCGTACCTCGCCTCGTTGTCGATCTGGTCACCAAATCCGGGGGTATCGACAATGGTAAGAGAAATCCGGGTTCCCTCCTCGTCAAGTTCTAGATCTGCAGGTAGCAATGAGTTCCTAAGAAAGAAGTGGAATTCTTTTAGCCTGTACGGCCCAAGACCTACCAACTGTGACTGGCTTGATCCGAACACCCTCCTCAACGTGAGCGTTCGCAGCATCGTCTGCATCCTTGTGGTCCAGGACCTTCTTCCCACAGAGAGTGTTGACAAAGGTCGTGCGTCCTGTGATAACGCCAAGCGAAAAGCAGTGGTCAACTGACAAGTCTCCAATGGCCTGCAGGGTAGTGGATTCCTTCAACTTACCAGTTCCACTGGCTCCGCAGACCATCAAACAGAACTGGATACCCTTCTTGACATTTTTCTTGCGACGAATCTATAAATAAAGGACAAGCAGTTAGAGTCAGCAAGGAGCAAAATTGCAGGGGGGGAACGTTGACAAGGTATGTCCGGCAGGGAGTGAAATCTCGGGTTGTCTGGCAAGAGGAAAGAATGACATAGAAGTGAAACATACCGCAGTCAGAGGGGACGACATGGTGGGCAAAAGGTGAGCGTCGAAACGGACAAGAAGGATTGGAAACGAGAAAACGACAATAAGGGCCCAAACGAAGAGGAAAGGGAGAGGGAGCTAGGACGGGCAGCGACGTGAAGCTCTGAAGAAAAGACGTGCTGGCGACAGGGCGCTCTCCTGAACGGGGACAAGGAGGGTCGGCGTGGTTCACTTCAGCATTTAGGGGGGGGGAAGGAGCCGTCGCGCGCCTTACTCTAGCTAGTCGCGGCTGCTTGCCTGCGCTTACCCCTTTCCATGGAGGTCCAGAGGGGAAGGCACGGAGCAGCCCGCTCTGGCCAATCACGTGCAGCATGCAGCTAACTCCCGCAACAATGTCTGAGTTTAACTGCTCAGTGAACTATGCCAGCACCGAGATGCTGCTGCGTGGTTAGCTGTTTAGTTAGTTGATGAGTCCAAGTCGCGCAGCTATCTTACAGGACACGAGAAAAAGAAGAAATTTTGTGGTGGAACCACAAGGCAATCTAGTTGGTAAATAGCTGTCTGCTGTTGGAGAGAGATATCTCAGGTACTAGACCTAGCTTAGTAGCTGATTGCCTTATTTTTCATATCTAAACCTGTCTAGATAATTGCAAGGAATAGCCAAGTAACCAGTATCGCTGAAGACCACGTTTCTATAGCTGCTGCTGTAGAGCCAATGGGATGTGAGCGTCCATGAGTGCAGGCAGGCGAACAGCTTATTTGGGGTCTTTCCGGCGGGAGTTCACTTCGCCCTCCGCATATTTCCGCTACCACAGGAAGGGAGCGATCTCGACCTCACTGCCCCCAGCTCAACACTGATGAATACACGGCAGGTGATTGATGACTCGGCAGGGCCGGTCTCTCTATCAGCTGCCTTCAACAATGACAGCAGCTGCTTCTCTGTCGGGCTGGATACCGGCTTCTGCGGTAAGACGCCTTTACCGCCCTGCTTGAAATCATCTCAGGAACAGGAAACTGATGGCAACCGGGTATGGACAGTTTTCAACGCGGACCCATGTGAGCTGAAGGTGTCTCGAGGTGTGCAGATACCTAGAGTGATACTTCGTTATGGGTTCTAGAGAGGAGACGCTAACTGTCTGGGTGACCGTCCTTCAGACTTCAACGCTGGCATCGGCGTGGCGGAGATGCTGGGTCAGTCCAACTATTTGGCGATAGTGGGAGGAGGAAAGCAACCAAAGTTCCCCCAGAACAAAGTACACGCTTTCCTATTCCGTGAATATCTCTAGTCGTGGCTGACGCCCGTGTGCAGCTGGTCATCTGGGATGACGTGAAGCAGAAAGCGGTTATCTCTCTCGAGTTTCGAACCTCCGTACTCCGAGTACGCCTCTCGAAATCGCGAATCGTCGTCGCTCTCCTCAACAGTATCCACGTTTTTGCCTTCTCGACCCCTCCTCAGAAACTGTTTGTGTTTGAGACGACAGATAATCCGCTGGGTCTGGTCTGCCTAGGCAAGAAGTTGCTGGCCTTTCCTGGTCGATCTCCAGGACAGGTCCAGCAGGTAGAACTAGAAACGGGAAATGTCAGCATTATACCAGCACATACCTCTCCTTTGAGAGCAATGGCCCTGAGTCCAGACGGGGAAGTGCTAGTTACAGCAAGTGAAGCTGTAAGCATGCTAGTCTGCTGTGAACTGTAGATCAATCTTTAACGGCAGTACAGGGCACCTTGATCCGAGTATTTTCTACAAGCAATTGCGCCAAAATTGCCGAGTTGCGACGAGGCGTGGATCACGCAATGATATTTTCTCTTGCTATCTCACCATCCAGCACACTGCTAGCGGTCACCTCCGACAAATCTACCCTGCATATCTTTGACCTTCCCCACCCACGAGCTCTTTCGCGACGGAGCCAGTCGCCATCATCGCCATCAGAGGAAGGAAGCAATCAAAAATGGGGCATATTGGGAAAGATCCCTTTGCTTCCCCGGGTATTCTCCGACGTATATTCTTTTGCAAGTGTGCATTTCGAAATTGGCGACGACTTCTCATCAGGGGCGCCGTACATCCCACCTCTAGGGACGTCATTTGGACGGCCATCAAAAGGTGTGATCGGCTGGACAAATGATCAGACGATCTTGGTCATTAGTGCTGGGCGTGAAGGTCGGTGGGAGAAGTTTGTCCTTCGTGAAGGTGAGGACGGTAGGCGCTACTGTGTCAGAGAGGGTTGGAAACGTTATCTAGGAGGTGGTTGAGCAGATATTTCATTGTAAGAAATGGTTTAAGATTGGAGGTATCTATTTATCCACCCGCTCCTCACTGCCCTGTTACAACGGACTTCTCTTCAGGTGCTGCTGACGGCAGTCGACACATTGGGAGTCGACAAGGGTCCTCTGCGCAAATAGGGATATTTTGCCAGTCTCTGCGGAGCAGACTCCCTAAAGCACAGGCTATCCCCTCCCCGCAGATCAGGCCATGATGGCCTGGAGATATTCATAATCGCGGAGAGTTGCAAAGCCTGTTACAGAACGTAAGTCGAAGTGGCGATTTTGTTTTAGATATGCTTGATGAGAAAGGCAAGCATAGCATGTATAGTAGGATGTTAGAAGTCTTTTGGAGAAATTTCAGATGATCATCTGTCACGGTCCCTTCTATGCCTCTCTCGTCTGTAATCGGGAGATAATGACCTCGTCCGCGATCTGTCTCTGTAGTATCTGTCTCGGGAGCGAGACCTGTCCCTATGTGATGTCCTCTGCCGAGATGATGACCTTTCTCTTAGTGGTTTCTCGTAAGAGGGAGACGTATCTCTGTCTCGACGTGGTCTCTCTCGAGAGCGAGAGCGAGACCTGTCCTTATATGACGTTCTCTGCCGAGATGATGATCTTTCTCTGAGTGGCTTCTCGTGAGAAGGCGACGTATCTCTGTCTCGACGTGATCTCTCGCGAGAGCGAGAGCGAGACCGGTCCTCGCTGTGTCTGCGACGGTGGTGATGCCGATGACGGTGTCGATGAGATCGCTCACGACTGTCATCTCGCCTGTACGAAGATTTCTTGCTGCTGCGGCTCTTCAGTTTCTCCAGTGCTCGAGCAACTTCCTCCTTTTTCTCTTGGATCAAATATTCTTTCATGGGATCTTCTTCGTCGTGGTCCCGCATCAGCTCTTCGAGCTCCTTCTCCTCTTTAAGCATGGGCCGTTCACGTTCATGATCCTCCACATCGGTGTCATCACTGTGTCTTCTTGATCTGCGATGCCTTCGCTCCCTGCGCTCGGTGTCGGTGTCGTCATCTCTTCTGGATTCCTCTGCGCCTTGTCCCATCATCACGGCCACGTTATTCTCTTCCTCGTCCTCGCGCATCTTGTATCTGACATGATCAACCCGCAGCATCCGCCCCAACACTGTCGCACCACAGAGGTTGTCGACTGCGAGATCCGTGCTGCGCTGATCTTCGTACTTGAGAAATGCGAAGCCCCTACTCTTGCCTGTTTCTTTGTCGCGGACCAGATTAACATGGACGGGTTCGCCGAATTGCGAAAAAATTGTCACGATGTCGCCCTCCGAGAGGTCATACGGAAGACCTCCGATGTAGATCCAGGCGGTATCGCGGTAGTCGGCATGCCATGAAGCTTCAGGCGGTCTGTCAGATTATCTCAAAACCGTCAGTACATCCACTAAGCAAAGAGTGAACTGAGAAGACGGCGATCTGGTGGGAGGGACGTACACTGCATTCTCAAGTTCGCGCTGATTCAGCGCCTGGATCTGGCGGATGGAATTCATAGAGCCCCAAGTTTGAAAACCAAATCCAAATGAAGAAAAGTTTGCTTAGCAAGACAAATCGCTGGAGTTGTAGAGCCGCTGGCGGAAATAGTTGACGTCGCGGAAGCTCCCATGCAAATCAAGGACGGGATGCGGCTCCCAAGCGCGCATCTTAGTTTGACGCAACCTTGTCCGCTGGTTCGGAACCATGGCCTAGGTCCTGTTTACGGCAAACACGCTCGCCTTTCGACGATCGCCAATCGTAACGGAAGGGAGTTCTTGAGGCAAGCAGCAAACGACTGTATTTCTCTGTACTTCCTTCTTGTTCATATATGCTCTGCACGAGATCTCCTTTGCGTTGCATCCTCCAAGTCACCTGCGACCTCCCCTGAACCCAACCTCACTGAAGTGTCCGCCTACCGTTTCCTCCGGGACTGCGTGTCATAACCGCATATACACGTGAAATACTCTTTCCACAAATTTTAATCGATATATTTGAGCTGGACATGGTCTGAGTGGACACAAGATGGTCGGGATCGGACAACGGTTGTCGACATTGAGCCAAAACTCCGGCTCCAAAGGCGGCGCTGGTAGCAGGCCGTCGAGTAAAGATGGCAACAAGAAGAATATCTGGTCCTCCATGCTGGATAGCGTTGCTAGTGGGAAGCGCCTTCCAGAGAAGAATATGATAGTCCTAGGTTTGTCACTTCAGACCTGTCCTTTACGCGATATTTCTGGTCATTTTTGGTGTGATTGTCACCCATGCTGATATGCGATTTCCCCACTGTCCTCAGGAGGAACTCCCGAAAGCCAGAGAGAATTCCTCGAGACGCTTTCTACAGACCCGTCAGATCCTAGGTTGCCGACCGAGAAGAAGAAAGGAAGGGTAGCACCGATCGCCAATGAATTTGCGCTAGGATATACATACCAAGACGTCCTGGATGCGGATCAAGAAGGTGTGATTTTCCTGCTATGAATCAATCAGCCTGAATCCTATGGGCGCGTGAATCTCCTGTCCGTATTGAAGATTGCTGAGCTCTGTGACAACAGACATTCTGGCCCGTGTCTCTGTTTATCTGCTCTCCGATCCTTCCGCCTCCTTTGCGCCCCTTCTTCGACCGCTTTTGACACCACAAACCATTCCAGAGACGTTGATTGTCATCCTACTCGACTGGTCGTCCCCGTGGACCTGGGTTCGAGAGTTGCGTGAATGGATTCGTTTGCTACGGTCCGTCCTAATCTCACTCGATGATGAGACGAAGCTTGTCATGGAAGAGGTTATGACCGAGTGGAGGGATCGCAAGAGAGGATTGGATGTGTCAGGAACCGGGGTTCCAAACTCAGGCGGGCCTGTGACGATACCGCTGGGCCCAGGGGAGTGGGATGAAGGTCTAGGAGTTCCATTATGTGTCGTTTGCCAAGGGGTGTGTACAAGCATTCTGTATCGCGAAGGTTCTCTTTGGTCGGTTTATTGACTGAGTTTCTGCAGGCCGACAAGATTGAGAAGCTGGAGAAAGAACACGGCTGGCGGGAAGAGGAGTTTGACTTTATCCTCCAGTTTATGAGAACAATTCTACTGAAACGTGAGTCGCTACCTCTCGTCCTCTTAATGCAGATCATCTCTGACTTCTGCTTTCACAGACGGTGCATCGCTCATTTACACGACGCCTTTTCTGGCTAACTCTCTACAGAGTCTGATTCATTCATCACTGGGAATACATTCGCTTTTAAAACGGCAATCGCTTAAGCATAATGTGATTGATAGAGACAAGATCCTTGTCCCCGCTAATTGGGATTCCTGGGGCAAAATCCGGATCATCCGGGAAGGGTTCGACATAGAAGGTGTCGGAAACGCCTGGTCGATTGAGATTCAGGATCCTCCGGGCACTGCTGATCCGGAAGAAAATGGCGAGACGCCAGAGGACGGCACGAGTGCTGTTGTTATATATGAGCAGACGATCCGGGATCCAAAGCGTGACTCGTCGGCTGCTCACGCCAACAGCCAGGCCAATGGAAACAAGATCGAGATCGAGACAGAAGACATGCAGACGTTCCTAGCCAAGCAATTGGAAGTCTTGGAGCAACTCAAGGCCGAAGACGAGAAGGACCGCGCCGCGAAGAAGATACCCAAACAGCTCGAAATGTCGCCGAATCTGGATGAGAGCGGACGGGTGAATGAGCACATCGGGCCGGTGCAGTTCAACATGGGCGGTATCCAGGTCGATGCTGATGACATGCTGAGGAAGCTGAAGGTTAGTCCACGAAGCTGTGTCTGACTTTTTATACTTTGACACTGACATTTGGACAAGGAACGGGAAGCCAATCGAACGCCAAAGAGAGAGACTTTGTCGAGCTCTGCAGCCGATGAAAAGGCGCACAACCAGGCTCTGGCGAACTTTTTCGCTGGCCTCGTCAAGAAGCCTGGTCATGCTGGTCATGGTGGTAGCCCCCGCAGTAGTCCTGCTCCAGGATCCTCCTCCACTTAACTTAGGCTGTGACAAGACAAAGAAGCATCTACCTACTACATCTTGCAATGCAAGTTCGCCAGAACTTTGGCTGAAGTCAGAGAAGGTTGCGATTGGTGGCACCTTTCCTTCTTTTTTGCGTTTTGGCCTCCCTGGAAATGTTTCATATTTTAACACTTTTTTTCTTGTAACTGTACCGGTTCACAATACAATATGTTATGATACCCTACTTATTATTAGTATGGAAGCCTGTGGTCTAGATGGTGGTATTAATGATACAGTTACCTAGTTGCACGATCTTGACCCGGCGTTTCTTTCTTTTTTTCTTCGTATTGATGATCTGTTAGCTTAATTATCAAGTTTATGCTGGTACATTTGCGTATTTATTCACTGTACCTGAAGATCACATCTATGTCTATATCTATGTCTCGGTCTATAATCTAAGAATATATAGGTGACAGGTCGAGATCGACAAGAACTAAAATTAGATATCGCGATTGACTTGGATATAAATAATAGAATACAGCATTGAATCTCGCTACCGCTGCGACGTTTTCTCGAATATCGCGGCTGATGGGAGCTCTACCTCTTCACCAATTTTCCCATATCTCGGCCGGAAGGACTGTCCTCATGATCTGCCAATGACCCAGCGCACTGTGCGCATGGTACGCCTGCAGAATGTCGGTTTCCCCAACTTTCAGGATGCGCTGCTTCTTAGGAGCCTCGAGGGCTTCGAACACGCCCGGGTCAATCTCATGTTTGGGCAACAGGTACGACTCGCGCGACTTGCTGCCCAGAAAATCTGCTTGCGTGGGCTGTCGGAATCGCAGCGGCTGTGCGGCTGATTTCTTGCAGAAAACTACCATGTTGGAGAAGTCTGCTGTCGGCGACTCCTTCGAGGCCTCGTCTTCACGGAAGATACGGCACGAGGGAAACACGGTCTGGATCGTGCGAACGACGAGTCCCGCTGACGGGAGGGTGAGATTTCCGGCGTAATTCTGGACCAAATGTCAGTTTTGTCTTGGTACATCCACGAAGCCGGTCTCTAAATCATAGAAAACAAATGGGGAAATTCTATCCGGCAGCCAAACTTACAATTGCAATGACACCATCATCTTTGAGCAGTGAGTTCAGTCCCTGCATGAATTCGAGCGTGAACAATTCTACCGGCTCCGCACCGCCTGTAAACACATCATGCACGATATAGTCGTACCGGCGGGATTCCGGCTCTTTCTGGGCCTTCTGCACGAACGTCACCGCATCCTCGATGATGGGCGTGTGGTTGGCGGGAAGGTGGAAGTACTGTGTCGCGAACTTGTGCACTACAGGGTCGATCTCGACAATGGTGGTATCAATCCCATGGCTGATCAATGCAGAAGGCGTGGTCCCGATTCCAAGTCCTCTAGAGAAAAGTCAGCCGGTCATGAACACGTCGTTATCATACAATATAATTGGCACCCCATACATAACGAGTGCGCTGCTGTCTTTGTCCGCACGCGCACGGCTTCCATCATCAGGTTCGACCAGTCTAACTGCCTCGAGCATGGCAAACACAGCATAAATAGGATCTCTTGCCCTTGGATTGTAGCCCGCTGGGGTCTTCGTCCATTCCCCGCCGAGAAGGCTATGGTCGCATCTCATGGCACGGAAACCCGTTTTCGTGTTTTCCAAGACCGAAATATAACCGGTCAACGACTCTTGACGAGCAACGAGATTGTAGCCGTACCCGTGGAGGGTGGAGTTCAGTACCGCAGTCGTACGGTCAAAGGGCATGTGCACGTTGGAAGTCGCTGAGAAGAGCAGAGACGGGAGAGCGAGGAGCACCCATATCGACGGAAGAGTTGCAGCATATAGGAACGCTACTACCAGCTGCAGCGCGGAGCACGTCAAGAGGAAGCTCGACCCAATAAATTTCGAAAGAGCAGACTGAGCAACTTTCTCTCCGAAGCTATACAGGACCAGGCTACCGATGAGAGGCGCATGTTCAGCTACTATCTCTCCATAATCCTGAAGACGCAAAACACCGAGGAGCGCAGAAGAAGCGGAGACGGACAGCAATAGCAATGGGAAGAAGGTCGCCAATTCTGTCACGAAGGGGCCAATTGGATTTCCCAGGGATGAACTCTGTTTGAACAGGAAAAATTGGATGGTCGGAATCGCAAACGCAAGAGCCGGGAGAAAATTGGCGTCCTGTCGGCCAATGAATCGTGGGAAACGATGCCTTAGGATGGAGCCCGTGAAGATGGCAGCAATGGTTACAGCACGGTGGTAAGCGCTCGAGGGTGTCGAACCGTAAACCGGAGCCAGGGCGCGTTGAGAGAGCGGAGAGGATACGGCAGCAAGGAGGAGCAATGCGATGGCCCTGCCCACCGACAACCAAGGCGGACTAGCATTGCTTTCGCGCTGGCCGGCTGTGGTCGCAAAGTTTGGCGATATGGAAGACTTTTTTGCCATTGTCAAACGATCGATCGTGTCGGTGGGAGGAAAGGGAGGGGAGGAAAGAGGATGCTGCGGATATCGCGGGACTAAATGCAGGAAATATCAAAAGCTCTCCGCGACTGTGTATGGCAGAAACGACATCCCAGCTGCACGTAAAAAGGACAATCAACATCCAATTCGACAAAGAATACAGCCAATGAAGCTGTGCTTCCGCTAATTAATTGCAAACCAGGGAACCTGGTTGACAATCCACAATGAAAGTTCCCTGGAGCTGTCAGTCATCGCAGCAGCTGCAGCTCTCGCCACTAGTTCGGGCGTGCTCGCCCCACCGTGTCTGCTCGAGCTATCTAACGCAAACACGCTCCAAGCTCAACCCTCTGTTTCAGAAAGCCATCATAATCCATCGCCTCTGAGATTGCTGTCTGAGTTGAAATATGCCGTACTTCCCCATGAACACAGGCTTCCCTACGACGCAGGCTTCAAAAGATGCAGCTGCTTCCGAGGGGAAATCGGATGGGAAATCAGATGGGAAATCGGACACGCCTCAGTTGAGGCCTCCGGCTTCAATCCAGGTGAAGAATCGCCGGAAGCGCTACCTGGAGAAGCATCCAGAGTATTTCTCTGCAGATCTCGAGATGGCCGGTCCGCATGCTCTTTCCTCGTTTTGCCTGTCACACTGATCCAGGAAGCACTGAACCTGTTCGAGACTAACATGCAGCTGTGTAGACCCTTTACTATACGATCGCCTCATCCGTCGTTTCCAGACGCCTGAAGAAAGACAGGCCGAGGGACGTGCCAAAGGCTTCTCCGGCATTCTGCATGCCGATCTGATGCGATCAGAGGCTAAGATGGAAGCCCTCGCTAACCCGGACCCTAACGCGATGTTCAGCTACAGGCGCGGACCTAACGGTGAAATCATCGCCGAGGACAAAGACGATATACCCGCTACCAAGGAAGAGGGCGAAAAGCGCTGGCGCGAGGAGATGGAGCTGCGCTTCTTGAGAGGCGCAGATTACGACTTCGACTACAAGACCGTGGACGAGAATGACGAGTATGATGATTGGAACGAGGAACAAGAGCGATACTTTGATGAAGAAGAGCCTGAATGGATCATTGAAGATGGGCACGAAGGCGAGGATCCTAAGTCCAGATTAAAAGGGGAAACGGGGATACAAGACTTTTGAGCTGTCGCTCCATACTCTTGGGAGGGATCATATCAGACCGGAGAGGCTGGCTTTCCCAAGTATTCTGTATCTCCCAATTCATCATATGAAACATATGCCTCATCGAATCTTGCGACGTCTAGAGTTCGCAGGAAATTACACCTCTCTTCCAATGGCACGAATGTCCGGAAGAGGCAACCTTACTCTCGACAGGGTCTTGATTCATACTCGTTAGCGCGTCCACCTGGAAGTTGGGAAGCGGTGATTGCAGCTTGAAGACATGTTCAGAAAGCGGGGTTGAGGAGCTAGGATGGCTAAATGCTCATTGCGCATCCCTGTCCTGAGTCCAGTCCAGCCTAAGCACCACACCGGTTTCTGTCCATTCATTGACAGGAGATCATCAGTTCTAGACGCGTTGCAGCCTAGTTCTATCTCAAATGCGGGGAAAGCTCTTGTGATGTCCAGAGTTGGTCAGCCGGATGGACCGGCAGTAGCTCACGTCACAATGAGATATCTTGAGCAAGCCCGTCCCTATCAACAAGTTGCTCGTAACGTTCCACATTCTTTCCTGCTGGTTGGTCACGTTTTCCAGATACCCAGGTCGGCATGTTATTTGATAAGGCTCGAAAGTATGGTGCGACTGGCAGTGACGATTCCGAGGAGAGACATGAGAAACCTCTCTCGTGTATGATATTCCTCTTCGCATCTCAGATGTCCCGAAACCTCGAAGCATCGACCACATCGCCATCCTCAGAATCGATGAACGAGAGCGCCCATTCTTCGGCGAGAGTCCATCGTCTGGACACACTTCTCTCCCAAGTTCAGCAGCACGCAGATCGCAGTCCTTACGTTACTCGCTTTGAAACTATTCCGGTTGAGACGGCCCCTCCCGGTCGTCCTCGAGGTACATCTCGCGATGAGATGCATGACACGTTATTACTTGTGAGCTTCAAAAGCAAACGGGCTTGGGAGCAATCCCCCAGAGTGGCAGCACTTTATGCAGAGCACGGAAAAAGAAGGCGTGTTTAGAAGAATCCCGCATGTTCGATGTGCTCACAGCTTGAAGGGACTAAGGAATCCGCTCGAAGTTCTCATGGCTTGAATTGTTGACAAGGTCCCCTGTGTCAAGCTTTCTTACAGAGATCCTGATGTCCAACAAGCAGGACCGCTCTGTTGTCGGAAATCCTGTTCCTACCTCCAAGGTGAATTTCTAGGTCCGTTCACTTATTGACAGTTGATCATTAAGCTGGTATAATCACTTCCTGGCTTTCTGAATCCAATTTACTGTATTTTTTCGTGTATCCTTTGCGGGTTCTGGTCATTTTGCGGAGATCCCCTTCATGTGAAGTACATGAATAGCTGAAACTTGGACGTTCAAAGAAGAAGAATCCAGTGGATCAATTCACATTCCAACGTAACATTCATGACGTGTTTACTGCGCATTGAGCAAGTCTCGTACTGTACTCTGTACTACGCTAGATAACTTCTCTTGCTGGGCACGACCTCCGACCTTTCCGCCGGGTCTTGGCAGATGCCAAGCTCTTGGCATGGGATCTCGGCGTCACCATATAATCAGGAGACACGGAGGCAGCTTACATGTACAGAGAGTATGCTCGAACAAAAATGCTTGGCTTGTGAGGCTTTGCGGCTGGACACAGCCTTCTCCTTTTTGCGCCTGCATGGACCCAGTTGAAGGTTTGAAGCCCCTGGGTTAGTTCGTTGGCTTAGTTCGCTCTTACGTGTAACGATCGGAATCAGACCCATACACGATCTGCAAAAAAGTGCAAAATGCAGCTTGGCAACCCTACCGGAAGCATTTTTGGAACCCGAACTGGTTAAATAATGCCGGATGCCTGGATTTAGGCAGTCATGTTAACCCCATTAGCAGCGTCTAATACCTGCGCCATGGTTAGTGTCGACAAAAATAAACTAAGACTATCATGGATGATAAAATTCTGGAGGGCGTGTGGGGGGAGAGAACCCCAGACAAGCCATGGGACAGGAACACCCCTGTCGAGACCAGGATCAGATCGCATACAAGTCGTCTGCCAAGTTTCTTGTCAATCATTCATCCATTCTCCCCTTTCCTGCCAGTTGTCGGCACTTCTTGGCGGGCAGGATGGCTTGGCTCTCTCGGTGCCTGTTGCGACATTTATCATTTAAAGCAAGCACCAGCTAGGCAGGTGTTGGAAGTTCTCTGCTCTTTCCTGTCCTAGCAGCTTATCATTTCCAACCACGCTTTCAAGAATTCGCCCTTCAAGTCATTCTAGACTCTGTTACTTGAGATTTGCCTTTGTTACATTCGGCCATATTCTGCACAGTTGCTTGCAGTTGACTCACAAGAATCTATTTGACCTCGCTGGACGAGTTCCTCCTCTCTGACGTGCGCGACTATAGTCCTTCCATTACCTCTTTAGTCATCTTCCACGACCTAGGCTGGGCGTTCACTCTATTTCCATCTGTCTGTCCTCAAATGCAAAGTCCTTGAGTACAATTTCCAGATTCAAGTCTGTGCCTCTTTTGATCCTAAGCAGTCAAGATCAGACCTTCATCTTCACGGTTGCTAGTTTCATCATACAACATTGCAATGTCTGAGGGCCCTGTTATGTATTTGTCCAAGACTGAGCCGCTGCGGCCTAACCATGGCCTAAAGATATCGGGCCTCACAAGGATGCAAAGCGATGTCGGCGCCAAAACTGCGCTTACAGATTCTTGTCCTACGAATCCGCCGAAGACGGTTAACCAAGAAGATGTGAGCCCCGGCTGCCATGCCCCATCTCTCACCCCTTCGAACGGGTTGTTATCTCCGCTCGCCATCCCGGAAAACTGTCATGACACTCTCACACCAAAGAGCGGGCATACTGGACCCTACCATGCGAGTGCAGATCCATTAATCATCAACACTGTTACTCCACCATTGACACCTCGAAAACCCTCCTTTGACAGAGGTGAGCAGCTAGTTTCATCAACCGCATCAAGCCCGTCCAGTCAACTATCTCCATTAAGGGCGGCATCTCAATCCTTCAAATCCATTTTCCGTCGCAACGTGCAACAAAATGAGGATACACAAGGGACGTCAAGCTTGGGCACTTCTCCGAACGGCATCGGTGATGGAACTGGGAGTGCTTGGATAGGTCCAGTCGCTCACAATTCCCAAAACTCCCAACATACCTCGACATCTAACTCTCCTCGATCCTCATTTTCGCCCTTTGACATGTCTGATTCTGGTGCCACTGGGGTTTTTGGAACCTCTGCACCTTTACGAGAAGCTCCGAAGCCAGGAAGGACAACTACAGGGCGAAGTCTGAAAGAGAGGATCAAGTTTGCAGCTGCTTCGCGACCACGAGATCATAATGACAGGATACTGCGCTCTCCTAGTCTGGGTAATACGAAAACACAACGTGAAACACCGGACTTTGCTTTCCCTGCCAACTCCGGGGTCGGGTTGAAGGCCCGTCGGATGAGTGCAAGCCTCCCTGAGGATTTTCATGTAGACTTGTGCGAGCTCAGCGAGGAGTTTGTCAGTGCGAGTAGGATACCGGGTAGACGGGGAAAGGAAATCGGGAAAGGAGCTACAGCCACAGTGAAGATAATGTACAGGAAAGGATGCTCCAAAAACGTCCCGTACGCGGTCAAAGAATTCCGCAAACGCGGCCGAAACGAAACGGAAAGGGAGTATGAGCAGAAGGTCAAGTCTGAATTCAGCATAGCCAACAGCCTCCATCATCCGAATATTGTGAAAACAGTGCGTCTCTGCAGCCACGCTGGCCGCTGGAATCATGTCATGGAGTACTGCTCATATGGGGATCTCTATTCGCTGGTTCAGAGAGGTTATCTGCAAAAAGAAGACAACCTATGTCTGTTCAAACAGCTTTTGCAAGGCGTCGCCTATTTGCACGAGAACGGGATCGCGCATCGTGACATCAAGCTTGAGAACCTGCTTCTTTCGAGCGAAGGACATCTCAAGATCACAGACTTCGGCGTCTCTGAAGTCTTCAGTGGTATTCATCCCGGCCTGCGGTCTGCCGGTGGAGAGTGTGGCAAGGCAATGGGGGAGGTTCGAAAATGCTCACCGGGTATCTGTGGTAGCTTACCTTACATTGCGCCGGAAGTTCTGGCCAAGACAGGTACATGATGCGCTTCTTCCCTGCTTCACATTAATCGCTTTCTCATTAAAAGGGTACAGGTGACTACGATCCCCGCCCCCTTGATGTCTGGTCCTGTGCCATCGTTTGCTTGGCACTTTTCTTTCCGCGGCACACCTTGGCAGGCTGCGAGGTTGACAGACGTCAATTATGCCAAATTCATTGCTGGCTGGGACAATTTCCTGCTAAAGAAACCGGATGGAATTGTTACCGAAACAGAGTACCCTTCATGCGGTCGAATTTTCTCAGCTCTTCCAAAGGCGGCTCTCAAGCGTCTTGTCCTGCGAATGCTGCACCCAGATCCGGAGAGGAGAATAACCATCCATGATGCCCTGAGGGACCGGTGGGTGAGCAGAATCGAATGCTGTTGTCCTGACCCGAAGGACACGGTCAAACCGGTTAATTCGATCGATGCGGCCAAAGGAAGTGGCAAGCATGCTGGCCAGATGAAAGTGCAGAAGGTACATAATCATTTACCACCGGAAAAGAGACGCATGGGTTGAGAGAACATATCTCTCTGGCGCTTCTTGGATTTTGGAACAAATATTGACTCGTCTTAACGAGTCCTTTCCGTTTGCAGGAAGCTGCAGACTTGATCATATATGGATATTGTAATTCCGGTGTCCCGTACGTGTGGCGGCTTTACCTGACTATAGAAATATAGACGGCGTGATTATTTTCTGTTCTGATGTGTGAATATTAAAGTCCTACCTTCTATCCCTAAGTTCTAAACTTGAATATAAAGGCAATATATAGAGAGGTAGAGAGACAAGGAGATATATCTTTGCCAGTATCCAATATCACCAACGGCAGTTTCGAGACCAGAACCTTTCGACAGAGAAATTCTGCGAATGTGATATTTCTGAAGAGACAGAGTGACGTCCCCTTGTTACCTATTTGTATTCCATTCCGCCAGTCGTGCGTTTGTTTACTAGCTGTATCAGCGAACCTCCTAGGAGGCGGAGGAGGAAGCGGAGGAGGAGTCCTTCAGAAGCTCAATCGCCCTCTCGCGGAGTTTGAATTTCTGGATTTTCCCACTGGCAGTCTTGGGGAAGGCGTCTGAGTTTGGGAGGAAGAAGATGTATTTCGGGACTAGAAAATGAGATTAGTAAATGAAATGGTCAGTCAGAGTCAGGAGGTTTTTTTTTAAAAAAAAAATATGAGGATGAACGTGAAGACTTACCGAGGTGATTGCTCAATTTCTCGCGCACCCACTCCCTCAATTCTTCTATTAGGTTTACGTCTTTGTTGGGCTCTTTCTTCTCTTCCTGTCCAGTATTACCGCTGCTGCTGCTGCTGCTCTTCCGGACAACAAATGCACCCACTACTTCGCCGTATTTTTCATCGGGGACTCCGACGACGGATACCTCGGACACGGCCGGATGGGCGAGGAGACAGTTCTCGATCTCCAGCGGGTGAATGTTCTCACCGCCGCGGATGATCAGGTCCTTGATTCGTCCTGTGATGGTGATGTAGCCGTCTGGGGACATGCTGGCCTCGTCTCCTGTCTGTTGAACAGAAAAAACAACGAGAAAGGAAGGCATTTAGTATATAATATATATATGGAATTGTTGAAGATGAGTATGGGTATGGGTTATGACTTACATGCATCCAGATTTTCCCTTCTTCGTCTGGGATCATCACTTCGGCCGTCCTCTCGGGTGCGCCCCAGTACTCCTTCATCAGCAAGTATCCTGTGACAGCCAGTTCGCCCTTGGTATTGACAGGAAGGATTTCGCTCTTGTTGTGAGGATTGACGATCTTGGCTTCGACATGGGGCATGAGTCTCCCGACAGTGTTGATTCTCTTCTCGATGGGGTCGTCGGTCGTCGTCATGGCTGACACGGGACTCGTCTCCGTCATGCCATAGCAGATGGTCAGTTCCGTCAGATTCAGCGTCTTGTGCAACTTCTTCATCAGCTCGGCGGGGACACTGCTGCCGGCAGCGATGCCGGTCCGCAGATACTGAAACCCTTCATGCGGCACCTCTCCGCTCTCCAGCAACCCCAGTTCTTCAATGAACATTGTCGGGACGCCGTAGAGCGCTGTGCATTTTTCCTCCTGGACAGCTTTCAGCGCTGCCTTCGCGTTGAAAGACTCGGAGGGGAAAACGATGGCTGAACCGTGTGTTGCCGTTGCCATGTACCCTAATATGCAGCCGAAACAGTGAAAAAGCGGCGGAGGACAGCACACGATGTCTTCCGGGGTGAGGAGCATCCGATCACCAATCTGGGCGCCGTTATTCAGGATCGACCGATGGCTCAGACAGGCTGCTTTAGGCATGGACGTTGTTCCCGATGTGAACTGAATGTTGACAATGTCATGGAGAGAGAGGCCTTGAGGCGGCAATGGTCGACCGTCTGCTACCAACTCAGACATAATTGAGGAGTATGGGGTTAACGATTTGTACGGGGATATGTCTACTCTGCCGGAGGAATTATCCACGATCACTATCTTTTTTAGTGACGGTATCAATTGCGATTCGACCTTGGCCGCATCCAGGTCGGGGACGATGTGCTTCAAAAGGGGCATATTGTTCCTGGGTTCGCGTCGTGGTAGGTTCGCTTCGGTACTGATGATTAAATGGCTCGCCTCAAGGTGGCTTAAGGCAGCGACGACCTGGTTGGCATTGAAAGACGGGTTGAGTGGTACCTGACAGTGGTCAGCTTGACTTCTTTTATTCCATTGATAGATCTGCTTTTCTGGTATCTACATACCAGGATTGCACCAAGCTTGAAAAGGGCATAGGTTGCCTAGTGCATACGTCAGTGTTTGACGGAATAAGTAACCTATTATTATTTCCTTGCTGTAGAGATGGGAAGACGCACAATTGCATACTCGATGGAATTGCCCAACATCACCGCTACTCTGTCGCCTTTGCGAACGCCAATGGACTGCAATCCTCTTGCCAACGCATTGCTTTTGCGATCAAGAGCGTCGTACGTCAGTCGCTCATTTTGATGTTTTGCGATTACTCTTTCGAGGAGGAGTCAGTACAAAACGATCGCAAGGCATAGGGTTGAAGAAGAGGCGAGACGAACGCTTGTCGATCTCCGTATCGATTAACGATGGTTGCGAAATGCTCTGGAACAGTCTGCTCGAAGAGAGGAGGCTACAATACCGAGCGCCCATCATCAGAGCGACATTGCCGTTAGCCATTGCTGTATGCTCATTTCCTTCAGATAAATTCCGGCATGACAGTGAGTAGTAACCATACCTCTGTAGGACCACGCGCATAGCTTTGTGTCAACAGACTGCGATACTGTAGCGGCGTGACGTTCAGCTGCCTTTGAGCCAGGGAGCCGGTGCGCTGCAGCATTCGGGACCCTGCGGTCCTTCCTGGTCGGATGAGACAATGAATCCGCATTTTTCCCCTCCTTATTGACGACTTTTAAAGTCCTAATATCAGGCACTATTCATCCTCTCGTGTGGATATCTTCCTCGTGCCTCGAGTCGGTTTAGGACTGGCGTGCCCCTATATAGCGCACGGGGGTTCTCAGGTTTCAAGAATAACGCGTGCAGAATCGTGGACCTGGGCAGAGAATCAATACGACGAATTGGATACGACAAAGAAAATTGACATAGCAACAGAGGAAGATACTCCAATTAATTCATTGATGATTGATGATGATTGATTCCTCAGCAATGTGTTCGTAGGTGCTGCCAGCTCCTGGTTGGGGGTGTGGGGTTCCCCGCAAACAGCGGCTATCTCCGCAATGAACTAAACCTAGGTAGCTCGCCTGCCGAGGCTATCCGTATGTGCAGGTACGCATCTACGAATGTCTTATTTCTATTTCACTAGAACCCCTTCAATTTCTAAACAAACTAGACAATACTTATGTCGAACAACATACCAATTCCCGTAAAAAAGGTAGATCCATCTTAAGGGATGACTATCCTCGTTAATTGGACAAAAAACCCTTTTAGTTTTTAAGCGGATTGAATTCAGTTCTTTGGGCAGTCAGTCAATTTGGCGTTTATCGCATTTAACTATCTCAGAACTATGTCTCCATTTTGGAACCCTGTCTGCAAAGCTGCTTTTTTCCACCTCGTCGTCTTTAATTCAATCTCAAGGCTGGCTGGATTTCTTATCATTCATCATGCAGGAATGTTTAACGACTGTCCTATATATTTAGTTACGAAGATTTGCCCTTTCGTATGACAGGGTCGTCCTCTCACCTTTCATTCATAAAAGCACAATCCCCCTATACGACTGCTTGAACGGTATCTAGACGGGCAAGCATCTTTTACCGACGCAAACTTGACAGCATTTCTCCCCGTTCGCGCACGAACCTGCTTGATTGAAGAATTAATCATGTCAGCTTTTGACATTCCGGTTTTTTTTTTTTGTAAATATCCATCCATACCGCCAGCGGGGACACAGTCAGCCCGGGAATCAAGTAGAGACCCATCCCGTAGTTCTTGTGGGTAAGCCTGGAGAGAGGCAGCGAAGAAGAAAAGGAATAGCGTAAGGACCTTCATGGAGACTATAAAGTTCTTTTTTTTTTGTTTCAGGATACGAGTGCGGATCTGAAGCAGGGTATCTTGATCGTGTTTGTTGAAGCTGGAGTAGATAGTCCACTTCCGACGAAGATTATAAGAAGGATGATGGAAGGATTCAAAAGGAGGACAAAGATCTTAAAACTTGTTGGAAGGTGAATCACTTTCAGCTCCAACACTCTTTCGGCCCCAGCTCACATTCAGCCCCAGGCCCCCAGCAGTGGCACGCCTTAGGATCCTCAATCAAGAAGGATTCTTTATGGGTTGTTATGGACAAGGGCTTTGTTCCAGTAAATGGATATCTTCTCAATTTCTGGAACTAACTACATACAAAGATTCTATTGTTTCTTTGTATGTGCGGGGCCAGACCACACAGACTGTTACACAAGGATTTCTTTGTTATAAGACCTTTAGACCGCTTTCACAGGCTTCAATTAGTGCAGAGGTTGGGTTCCCATTTGTGAGGTGTGTAGTATGAATTTGCTAGTCCCTGCAGGTGTGTGACCATACAAGGCCATGCCAAGCTGTACATGTTATCTATGTAGTATCCTTTTCAACTGAATCATGAGGACGGTGGCCTTAAACCTGGATTGAACATATCATCTGCCTTGGGAAGAGGAGTTTGGACTATTATCTTGGCAAGTGAGGGAGTTATCTGACCTTGCTCTACACAATTGTTGGATGCGGAATTGGGGTACCCAAGGATATAGTGTAAACTCCAACATAAGCCCTTGTTACTCAGTCAAGGGCTTCTGTGACGGCTTGGTACAAAGTCTATATAAGTGAGAGTAATGCACGCCTCTAGGCTTCGCATCCTGGTTTTTTTTCTAGTAGCTGACAGGTCGTAGACCTGGAGACCTGGCACGTACTAGGCGGCTTTTCGAATCGAATACTCCCGATCTACCGAGCCGTGACTGCTTCATAGTTTAGTCTCTTCTAAATTCTTGCTCTGAGAGCTTCAGTGATTTAGATTCGGTTGCAATTCTCCTGAAGCTCAGTCACACCAGTTGTTTCTGTTGTAGTCATCCCCTCAACTTCCCAAGCCATTGGTAACTGTCGGCGCAGACGCTGGAAGCAATCAATTTTAACTAACATAACTATTAGTCGATAGCATAAAAGACGGTGATTAGAGAAGATCAAAATCATAAAGAAATAGGTTGGTCATAAACCCCGAAACAAGGAGGGCAATCTGCTTTCATCTCCTGTCTCGGGTATCTGTTTGCTTAGAGGAAGCTGCTTTGATCCTAGGACTCCTAGGCGCTGACAGACTCTCAGTCTGCTGTTCTCAAGACGATCAGTATCCTTTTATAGTGAGTGAGGCATCTGTTCTATTCGAGATAATATTGCAGCACAGTCAAAGAACGACAACAGCCTGGAGGAGACAGGCATACATGCCATTGTATCTGTGTAAGCTGCATCCTCTTAATAGGGAAAAGCTGCAACTTTAACCCTAAAAGGTAACTCTCTGGTTGTTAATCGTGGGGAAACAGTCGTGCTGCATGAAACCAGCTGGTAGAGCGTGTTGACTACTCCGGAAATGGCAGGAAACCAGGGCGGGATCATGGGTGGGGCTGCCTTGCTTGGCACGCGTCTTCCATGCGGTAAGCGGCGGGGGGAAGCTATAGTAGACTGTCTAGGACACTGACATGTGGGAGGGAGCTATATTGATATTTATTACCTGGACTGCATCATTACATTGCCCAGCTACCAGTTTTGAATATTTCTTCCTTTATCCAATTGTCGCATGTTGAATGCTGACTGCTCTGGCTGATACTGGTACAGAGCTCCACAAAAAAAGCGGCGCGCTCAAAGAAAAATGGCAGGCGAACCCTCAGAGGAGGCCATTGCCAACTTCGTCAGCTTCACAAGCACGTCGCGAGAGCAGGCCATCAGCTTTCTCAAGGTCAGTTTCTCCTTATTCCCCGATGCAACTTCTGGCTTTCACTAATGCATTCGCTGCCCAGGCAAATGACCTCAATTCACAGAAAGCCATCAATGCCTACTTTGAGAACCCCACCTGTGTCCAGCCCCAGGTGAGCCTGTCTGCAGAAAAGAACCGCAGACCGGTGCGTTCACTGAACTATTACACTTACAGACTCAGAATGACTGGGAAGCATTCAACAATGCGGCTGCATACCCTTATGGGAACCAATCCGTGCCCAGTAAGTTCATCACGCAGTTGTACGTGGGAGGCCTCATTCAGGTTGCTGACTCCATTTCTTTCTTAGCTTTCAATATCGAAAATACCGATCCTGTCCTGAATACTGGCTATTCAGCCCCTCCGTCGCGTCCCCCGTCGAGGATGAACACAGGCGATTCCCCGAGTGCGCCGAAATATGAAGGCATGGATCTATCCGGGCCGGCTGCTTCGGGTAAGCTGGCTGTAATCACGGCATTGAACGTCTATTCACAGTATCTGACCGTTTCACTGGACGAACAGGAAATGCGGAGCAGAATCTGACTCCAGCTCAGCGCGAGGAACGTGATCTTCAACAAGCAGTAGCGATGTCGTTGGGTCAGGACTTTGGCCCTCAGGAGAGTGGTGTTACCACGACAAACACCCCTCACTTCGGCCGCGCCACTCGAGATCATTACGATGAGAACGCATGGGCGATGACACTGTTCAATCCCAGCGCGCGGGAGGTGATCATTAGCCCGGATCCGGAAGACCGCCGGCGAATCAACAACGAACCTGCGTTTCTTCGTCCATCCCAAGAGTTCCAATATCTAGCAGGCTTTCTGACGATCATCCATTCGATTCCTCTTGCTCGAGAGGCTCTTTTACTAAGAAGAAGGGTTCTTTCCGACTACGGTTATGATCCGCAATGGTGGAATGGCCAGCAGATCAAAGCGCCTAAGGTCGTGTCGATGGAGGAGTCCTATGCTGAAGATAGCGACTGGGACGATATACTCGATGAAGCGCAACGATTGATGGCCTTTCTGGATTCCACGGAACGTGCGTTTGGAAGCACGGACGCGCTCGCGAGTATAAAGTCGATGTCCGGTTACGACTCTGATGGCGGAGTCTCGAACTTCCTTGAGGCCTGGCAAGAGGCCGCAGTTAGAGCGGCTCCTGACGATCGATTATCGACGATCTTTTCCTCACATGCTCTGAAACGGCCACTTTCCGAGGTGGACACGCCGATAGAAAAGGAATTCTTTATACTCGATCCTAACGTAGAATCGGAACATGGCCAAACACTCTACGATGTTCTCGACCGTGCTGTATGGGCCGACAGGCCTGGTGAAGAGCTCGATGATGTGTGGCTGGAGCATGTTGCGGAGATTCTCACCATCAGACTGGAGAGTTCGGATCCGTCAGCAAAATCAATCGGTGTCAAGATCCCTGCTGTTTTCTATCCTGATCGATATCTAGATGCCTGTCGAGAGATCTCTCGCGAATTCCGCATGCGAAGGCTGGATGTGTATAGAGAGATAGACAAGCTGGAGAACATCATGACCCGATTCTCAGTCTCGAAGGCCGTTGCCAAAAAGGGACTCACTTCCAAAGAAGTCCTGGAGAAGGCAGCAGCGGCAGCACGTCTTGCACTGCCAAAATATCTTGCTGACGGGGTGGGTGATGCCTCCCTGAGTCCAGAGGTTGCGAATGCGGAAGGACAGCGATTGGCTCACGAGCTCCGTGCCATTTCAAACAAGATTGACGAAAGACTGAAAGGTATTCATGCTCACATTCTGATGAAAACTTTGGGCCATGTGTCTAACGAGCGAAATAGAACTCGAGGATCAGAGACAGAAGGCCCTCGAAACACTGCGGAGTTATTCGAAAACTCTAACAGAACCATCAGCCTCCGCCGATGAACCTCCTAAACATAGATATACTTTGCGTGGCGTGTGTACTGCACCTCATGTGACTTATGTGTTGAGGCGCAGTGCTTCCAACAAGCCTGAAGACGCGATGGAGGAAGGAAATGGACGAGCTGATGACTGGCAATGGTGGCGGATCAGCTTCTCAACTGATGACGAAAAAACAAAAGAGGCATCGAGGACAAGAAGTAGGAGATTCGACATACCGCCAAATGCAGATGTAGCCGGTTACACTGCCCGCAAAGTGCGAGAGATTGAGGTGCTCCGAGCTGCCCGCGAAGAATCGAACAACATCTTGCTTGTTTATGCCAACAGCAATGCGGTGAATTTCAAGGAGGATGTTTTACCCCCTGCACTTCAGGTATGAATATCATGTCATGCTATGACATGGTTGGATTGGATCGGTTTAAAGCTGACTGTTCTCAATTTGCAGGAATTTGTTAATGCGGACAACCGGGCTTTCCAAGCTGAACTCGAGGAGGCTGAGCGCATGCCTCAAGCCGAGAATTTGGACAGCTCTTTAAAAACGGGCGAAACCTTCCATGACGCTAAACCGGCATTGAATACTAGCAATCCATCATATCTAGGAGAGCAACAGGCAACAACTGGGGATCGGGGGCCTCTTCCTTCTTATGAGAAAGTGAATGTCTTTGACTATGAAGTCAGTTCTTTTGAAGAAGAGTCCTCCAATCGTGAGCAGGAGATGCAAGAAACAGGTGGAGGAGAACCTCTTGGTCAATAATTGGTGAAGTTGTTTGCTTTTGAATTCTCTTCATGACATGATGATTGATGAGGTTTGGCCTTGTTTGACTGGCTGTTTTTGTGAACATCAGCATGGGAGTTGTTCTGTTTTTGGCTTTACGAGTGTTACTACTACAGGAAGATTTGTGTATTACATGATTCACAATGATTTCACGGTAAACACAATGATACAATAAGAATGATCACTGTGATTTGTACTAGTATTATTATTTTCGAGATGGACGTCCTGCTTACATTATTGTAGTTCACTTAGTACTCCGTAGATGGCCTACTACTCCCTGCGTATTGCGAGTGCTAGTTAGGCGGGAAATGAGATGGTTGTTTAAGGCGGGTCGACTGACTAAGCTAAGCAGCAGTGCAACGCCCTTGTGTACTACTCCGTACAAACAGTTTCTTGGACTAACCAGCCAAACACGAAGGCCTCCCCTTGCATTGGATCAGACGAAATCCTTCACACCATACCTACAATGTCTCTTGAAAGTGATGCGATAGCTGCAGCAACAATTGAGCTCCTGGAGACGCGCCTGCGGAGGCTTGAATACCTTCTCACCGGAGACACGAAATGGACAGGGCAACCTACAACGGTTCCGAAACCCGATACCTTCGAAGATACTGTTGCACGCCGCCTCGCACGCTTGGAAAGTGACCTTGAGGCTTTGAGCAAGAGCAAACCGGTCGTCCGGGAGGTGCTTCAGCTTTGTTAGCTTCTCCTCTCCTTTTATCATCATGCCTGCTCTATCTAGAACATGAAAGCTAATCAATATGGCCAAACATAGACTCCAAATTTCCCGAACTCTTCCAATCCACGCCTCCACAAACCATCCCGGCAGGGCTGAGCACTCAGAATCTCGCGTCGATTGTTCTGTCATATGCATCTGCTTTCCCCGAAACGGCCTCTCGGCTGACGTCTCTGAATGACCTGCCTATACCGGAAGCTAAGGCTTCTACAGCTCTCATCGAGCTCAAACCACGTCTCGAGAAGATGGCGCGAATACAGGAACAGCAGGTGAAGGAAGTCTCTGAATTGCGGATACGCAGCGCACGGCTTTTACAGCGATGGTACGAACTGGGGCTGCTTGGGAGTGCCGAGTGCTGGGCCGAGTGGCAGTCTCGATTGGAAGAGGTTGACCGTGAAGTCAAAAGGGCGGAAGTTGCGCGGGAGAGAAGGGCGAGAGAGATTTGAGATTCTGGCTCCAGGGCGGCACAATTCCATCAGCAGTCGGCGTCGAGCTCTAGCCTACGCAAGCGTTTCATATTTGTATGGAACGTGTTTTCTTTTCGACAGGGAATGCACGTGTTGCATTCCGCCGTGTCTATGCTCGGCTACTTACGCTCCTGGCATTGCTGTTATATGTCAGTCTCGATTGCACTGCCTGCCAATCAGGGTCTCTGCAGGCACGATAATATTTCGATGTGGCTTTATGAACCTGTCAAGCCACTTGTTCTTGTCGACACATTCCATTTCCAGCGACTATGCAGAGCATTATTTGGAATGACAGCGGACCTGAAAGACCGAAGCTCTAATATCGGTCCGTCAATGCGAAGGGAACAACAGGGATCCGAAACCAAGCGCAGATGATTCTCTCTAAAGAGACAATCGGGTCGAACTTGGCTGGACCCTTGTTGCGGTCTCATTTCCTTATATTGTTGATCAAGGCGAGATGGAATGAAAGGGGCGCGGCAGCCACATGCGAAAGACACGCGAACTGAAATCTTGGCTCCGTCTATTGTTGCTTCTGCTAAGCTGATCTTATCGAATAATGAACTGTTGCATACCGCTATCAAGAACCAGGACATCAGAGCACCTGTCCCAAGAAGAGTTTGTGGCATAGAGCATAACACTTCTATGCCGGTCTCCGTATGGAGATGGGTCTTCCACGCTGCTACATCTAAGAAAGCTCACTTGAGAGAATTTAAAGAATTAATCCTGAACTGATGCTTTCCTTCCCCTTCTGGCATTACCTGTGAAACACGCTAAATCTGCATAGAGTACTAGCTGCGGCAGGGCTGCTATGATCTACATCGCGACGGGTATATATATTGCTCCCGTCTCTTGGGGACTGGCGGCCCGATCTGAACAGGATTATTTATCTCAAACGTTCCAGGCCGCGTCTCCCGCTGCATTATTCTGTGCAGACGCCAGCCCGGAAAGAATGGCAAATTCTGGAATACCAGGAGCCGCCGGTATAGACACCGCAATTGAAATTCGTAGTGATTGCGGATCCGCAAACAGTAGAGGCGTAGGGCTGAGTCGATGGAATAGGTTGTAATGCATCAGTTTAACAAGATCTGAACCGTTTTTTTTTGGTCTGGTTTAGATCCGAGATCTCATGCCTTACATCCATTATCTGCAAGGGAAGCAGGTTGGGCGGTGCAACAAGTTCAACCCCATTACTCCGCTGCCAAGGCGATTGCTGATATTTTCAGCCCCATTATTATTATTGGCAATTATCTGGTAATCAGCCAAGCTGGCTGAGCAACCAAAAGTCTTGTTGTGCGGAGGGTAGATATCGCCAACTGTGTAGTAGGAGTCGATGACATTCAGAACTGATAGAGTCTGATAACCGTTGTATCTATTCGCCTGAGGCGGTTCTCGTCCTCCATCGTCGGACTGTCTGCGACGGCCTAAGCGTCATGGTCCCTCGCTGCTGTTGCATGGATCGCCGCGATCTCGAACTGGATCGGCTGATGGCCAGGCCCGCAGCAATTATTCTTCTTTGCCCCCTGGCCAATGCGCGGCCGCAGCACCCAGTCCGTGCACGCTGTTCTGTCACGAATGGGCGCGCTGCAGGTGAAACGGCTAATTCTCCCCCAACCCGCCCTCTCCATCTCCTTTTCCAGCCTGTCCGCTCTCGAGACACCGTGGTCCTCGCCGCTGGACAGTCTCCTTCTGCCGCTGCAGGCACCGTCCTCTCTTTTGCTCTCCTTCTCTTTCTCCTCTGTTCGTCTCGTGTTTCATAGTTCTCTCCAGCCTGGTGCTGTGTCGGGACTGTGTTACCTTGATCCGCTGGCTTCCCTCCCACGCTCGTTACCAAACCCCCCATTTTCTCTTCAGCTACCTTTTTGCTCCCACCGTTCCTGGTCGTATGACGCAGTGTCGACTCTCCATTCTTGGTGATCCTATCGCTGTTCCGGCATTCCCATTCACTGTACACGACGTCTCGATCGCCGCCTAGTCAGTCGTCCAACTTGGACGGCTTTTTCTGCCCCCAAGTCCACTATACGTCTCTTCCCGCGCCAACACGCGATCCACTATATCCGACTCTTGACCCTACAACTCGCACAAGAAGACGACAAGACGAGCGCGCCGTCATTGCGTTCTCTGATTCTCGAGAGACGCGCACTCCCCCGTCCTTACCTTGATGGTCTCCACCTCAGCTTCTATACGCAAATCCGGCCAGATCATTGAACCCAAAGCAAGCGGAATGGCGAGGTTTAGCGTCAGCAACGTTTTCGGCGATCCTTTCGCCCTCGCGACCATCTCCATATCGATGGTACGTTGCCATGCCAAGTTCCCTGGGATGAAGGACCTGCGGGGGGTGGATGTTGCTGACAAGCATTGGATTTAGCTCGCGTGGGCGATCTCTTTCATTTCGTCCGTCATCGCCAATATACAGACTGAGTTTCCGCCCTACGTGTGGTGGACAATCGTCTACATGCTGTGCTGCATCATCGGCATTTTCATTGTCGTCGCGTCGGACACGAGCCTGGTATACGGCGTTGCGGTATGGCGCTCTGAACTCTCCGCTCCCTGGATCTGTTTTTTTTTTAGCTATTTAGTCTGGTCAGCGCTAATGGCTCGCAGGTTGTTGGATATCTTGCCACGGGTCTCGTTCTCACCACTCTCGCTGTGAATTCTTTGGTCTATCAGCCGCAGGCCTCCAAACAGGCCGCCGCTGCGGGGTTTATCCTCTTATCCATGGTTATTGTATGGAGACGTTCTCTCTTGGAATTAGGACTGGTCTTAGGAGGCGATTTACTAACGTTCTTCGCAGATTGTGTGGATATTCTACTTCGGCTCTACCCCGCAGGCTTCCCACCGCGGCTTCATTGACTCGTTCGCACTCAACAAGGAGCATGGATCCTATCACAACAGCAGACCGGTCTCCAACGCCTTTGGGTCTCGTGGTGACAACCAGCCGCCTCAGATGTACACCTCTGCCCAGCTCAGCGGATTTGAAACGTCAACCCCCGTGTCAGGCTACCCAGGCGGGGCAGCCGGGTCCGATAAGCGTAACACATCGCAAGCGGGCTTCGGAGCTGTCCAAGCTGGCAACAACAATGGAAACGTTGGGGCGGATGCCTCTGGCGAAATCAGCCCGCCAACAGAATATCCCTACAGGGCGAAAGCCATCTACTCATATGATGCCAATCCCGACGACGCGAACGAAATCAGCTTTGTCAAGGGCGAGGAACTGGAAGTGTCGGATGTCAGTGGTCGATGGTGGCAGGCGCGGCGAGCAAACGGGGAGACTGGCATTGCGCCGTCGAATTACCTCATCCTGCTATGATGAGACGTTTGCTTCGCTTCGCCCTCCTCCACCTCCCCAACAACACAGATATACTTCCTTTGATACCCTTGTAACACAGGTTTCTTCGTGTGATCTTTTGGGTGCATATGTTATGTCATGTTCTGATGGGCTCTTCTTTCGTTCGATCCTGTTGGTTCTAGCTCTCGTCCCTGGCCATCTGCCAGTCGTCGCATGATTCAAGCTCCGGCAATGGAGCTTGAGCGAACCCATCTGCTGACGAACTCCGGGATTCGGGTGTTTGTTTCTTGTGTATTCATACTGGGGGATTTTTCTTTTAACGCGGGGCAGAGTACGGCGGAAAAAACGACCGTACATTCTGTTCTCCTTTTTTTTCGTTTTTGTGTTTATGGCAACGGAATGGATTGGTTCGGTTGCATCCAAAAATCTGCTTCGTTGTATTTTTGAAGTCTTTTTTGTTTTTGTTTTTTTTTCCTGACGATCTTATCTTCCTGGCGTCTCTGACTGACTGAAATTGTGTTGGATTCTTGTGTGTGATATGGATATAGTGGTTTCGCGAATAGTTGTGCAATGGGAGTGACCTCGTCTGTTTTTTATCTTTTGAATAGAGCATGAAGAGAAAAAAAATAAAAGAAACAGGAAGTAATCGCAATAAATAATAACGAGGACAAAAATAGAGCAGAAGGCATGAGTCTGGCTGACCGGTTTCAATATTAGCAAATGACGTCCCGTGATCTGGAGAATGAGGTCTCCTAAATTGTCATCTTCGTACCAGCTTAGCAGAAGTAGATTATAGATGCCTACCTAAGTGTATTACATAGCCTTGCTCTCTCTTTTTTTTTCTTTTTTTTTTACTTGAAAAAGAACTGCACTGTATAATGTATTCGATTCGATGGCTTTATCTCTCCCCCCAAGGCTATATATGTGTATTTGTGAACAGTATTAATAAAACTAGTAGAAGGAACTTTTTTTGGTTTAATTGATCAAATTCGAAGCTTTTATATTATCGGGCTGGAAAGCCGCTGGGCTCTAGATTGCCCCGTCAACGCCAGAAAGACAGGATCACAGGATAACTTCCCGTTCTGGATAACGTAATCAACCACCGAGCGACGAATACCACCGAGCGACGAATTTTCGCCGCACCCACTATAATTTTGAAGCTTTTCAACCACCAATACAATTAAATTAGACTATCTAGTAGTTGAATATATAGCTATTTATTAGGACAATTCCTTATGGTATGTCCAATAGTCCCACAGCCACTGCAGCGTTGTGGAGCTCGCCGTTGAGGCATAGGTGTAGGCTCATCAAGCTTCTCATTAAGCTGCGTATCAAGCTGCTGAATGCGATTTTGGCCTTCTTGTACAGATAAAAGGGTATCATTACCTAGAATAGCACGCCTTCTTGCCTTCTTTCTAGTTTTCCGCTCAGTCTCAGCTCGTAGAGTCCTAATTTCATCTCGAAGAAGAAGGTTCATATTCATTGCCATCTGCGCGGCCTTTTCAAGATGATGAATATGAGACATTGGGCTGCTAGAAAGCTTTTGCTTTCTTGCACTAAGGCTTTTTTGCAAGCTGCGAACCTTGTGATCCAGCTGGTGAGGATTCTGAGGAGTTTGAAAAGCAGAGGAGACTGAACTTTCAACTGAAGCTGGTGGTGTTGGCGTACGAAGCTGAAAGGTAATCTTTGCAAGAACCCGCTCTTTATCAAGTGGCTTAAGTCCAGCTCCTGCAAAGCCTTTGCATATATTGTCTGGAGTAAACACTTCTGCACGAGCAGATGGATATAGGGATAGAAAGTCTTCCTTGTCAATATGGTTGTTGCCAGCAATCATTCTCTTTTCAAGCAGTTTTCCGTACGCGCGCTTAAGCGGGCCAAAAACACCAACATCAAGTGGTTGCAGGAGATGAGAGGCATGTGCAGGCATGCAAAGACAGACAATTGCATTCTCCTTGCAGAAAGTATCAAACTCTGCAGTTAAATGGCTACTATGGCCATCAAGAATAAGCAACCGCTTGCACCAGTTGTATAGCGTCTGGAATATGGTTCAAACACCTCTTTCAACCAGCGAAGGCCTATTTCATCTGTTGTCCAGCCATTCTCGCTAGTTGCAATCCACCAGTCTTTGGAAAGTGTAGGTTCTTGATACCAAGCAGCCTGTTGAGATGCTGCTTTCAAGATAATCACTGGTGGTATATGAATCCCCTTTGAGCTCACAGTCTCAATGATTGTAACCCATTCACGGTTTCCCTGGATGACTGTACGAGGCCTTTCACTGCGTTCTGCTGCAGTAATAACCTTGGAGGTTGAGCAGAGCCCCATTGCAAAGCCAGTTTCATCAAAATTCCAGATGTCATCTTCATGTATGCCATGTTCCTGAATAGCTGCATGTACAGCTTGAAACCATGGTATTATAACTCTTGGATCCTCCTGCTTTGCACGCTGGTATGTAATCCTTCGATTATATCTTGTACGCAGCTCAGGATGGCGCTTGACAAATTTATAAGCCCAGTTGATGCCAAGGACTGCAGTAGGATCCTGTAGACGCTCACGGAGTAATATTTGTGCCATTGAACGCAGAAACTCTGGCCGAATTGGAAAACCTCGTTTATCTGCCTCTAGTAATCGCTGAATAAGTGTTTCCTCTTCAATAGCCTTTAATCTATGGCCATTAGCACGTGTTTCTGCGCGTGGTTGTCTTCCTTTAAGGCGAGCGCGAAGGGTAGCCTCAGGCACCCCAAAAATCTCTGCAGCCTTCAGTATTGATTTGACTTTTTGATTTTTATAAGCTGCAATAGCCATTTGAATTCGGTTTTCTTGAGATAAAGGCATTTTTGATAGTGGTGGTGATAAAATGACGCGTTGAAAAAAGGAAGTGGTAGGGTGGAGGAAAATTCGTCGCTCGGTGGTATTCGTCGCTCGGTGGTTGATTACGTTATATATTGATTTGTCGATTACAGGGTAGATTCCAGTACTTGTTATATTAGGATAAAATGGGTAAATTTTACTTAATATTCTGATTTAAGAATTTTTTATAATAAGTAATTATATAACCAATATTTTGTTTTTCCGTCAAGCTCCAAATACTCCGTATAAAGCTGTGGGAAAATGAGGGGTGCATGCATGAACAGCTTCAGCTTCAGCAGCAACCGTGACCATACTCCGGAGTACGGAGTAAAGAAAGCTTACAACGACATAAGCTCATCTCACGCTAATTATAGATAGAATTGATCATCCGACCAACCTTACCGCCATTCCAGGGAGTCTGGCCAGGTCTGAAGCGCCCGTTGTCGCCGCGTCGATGGCACGTAAAAGCGGTCGGGCAGATCTGAACGAATCCTGTCGGGTGACTATTATCTTACTAAAGCCTAACGCCCGTTCTCAAGGGTGTGTTCCGGTTCCCCACACTACTAAGTAGATTATCACCGCTGGCAGTGGCCACCCTCGTGCCAAATGACAAGACTCGTCACTCACTCGTGAGGAAGACTGAAAATGAGCAAGCAGCAGTTAGCCTCTGGAAAAGCTTGGGGGACCCACACCCGGTCCCGTTTGCGATTTCGCTTCTCAAGCGATTCACCCAGCTTGTTCTAGTTCCGAAGACCTGAACAGGGCCGTGATCTGCGGGTTCATCCAGACCCCTCTAGCTTCTCGAGTTATCCTCCATATTGGGATCGGGCCTTGAGACTTGTCTGATGATTGTCCCCATGATGGATCAGATCATGGGGGGTGTTGCGAAAAAAAAATGTGCAAATGTGAATTTCCCCCCTCTGCTGAGTCTGCTCCGTCTGTCGCCGACCTTCCCGTTACGGTAGTTTTCCCATCATTCGATCGCAAATGATTCAGTCCGGTCCCAGGTTGTTTAGCCAAACGCGCCTATCGGATGTTTCTGTTTTTGCTCTTTTTTTCTCTTTTCTTTTCTTTTCTTTTCTTCTTGACGTGGTCCCTGTTGTTGTTCTCGAATACACCGCTGGAACCCACTTCCCCGACGGTTGATGTTGGTGTCTGGTCCGGTTGGATGTTGATTCTCCAGTTTGTGATGATAGATCATGGTCTTACATTTCTTTCTTCATTTTTGGCCTAGTTTATCGTCTTAGCAGGATGGAGGAGGATGCGTTGTCGAGGAGTATTTATATTTCTCTCTGCTGTCTTTTATTTCTTTGTTATCATCTTCTCTTCGATAGCAACCTGAGTTCTTTCTTCTTTTTCTTTTTCTTTTCTTTTCTTTTTTTTCCTCCCCTTCTTCTTTCTTATTAGTTGAAGTTTTCTCGGATGGAGATTTCGTGTCAAAAGTTGAAGTATCTGATTTCTAGTTCAACGACAGATATTTAGCACGCCATTAGAATTCTTCTTGAAGCAACACGGAGGAACGCTCTATCTACAGAGCATACATGTATGATTTTTTTTCTCGATTCTTCTTCTTCTTCTTCTTCTTATTATTATTACTGGCTTGCGCTTTTGTACTCGAAAAAAAAAACAACATGGGGAACCATGCTCTTGGACCATGCATTGACTGGGCAGGGTTCAGTGATTTCCCACAGAACAAGACCCAATTGAGAGCATCCAAAAACCCAATCCAAGAACTGCCATGTCGGAGACGGAGAATATCCCCGTGGCGGCCAACGTGTTGGGCACGATCGGCACGGTCCTCTGGTGCATCCAGTTGGTCCCGCAGATCTGGCACAACTGGCGACACAAGAAGACGGACGGCTTGCCGGCTAGTATGATGGTTTTGTGGGCTACCTGTATGACTGTCTTTGGTTGGGTGTTTCGTGGGTAATACTGACTTGTGCTTTCAGGTGGGATCCCGTTCGGTGTCTATATGATCCTTCAGGTTTGAGCCCCATGCCACAGATCATTCTTGCTTGAGATTTTTTTTTCTGGACTATCTAACTAGGATAATCTATAGCAAGTCAATATCCCCCTGCAGATCCAGCCTCAGCTCTTTGCGTTCTTCTCCTGGGTTAGCTGGGGTCAGATCCTATACTATAACCGGTGGATCGACATGACACCATGCGTGCTTCTGACAAGACATTATTGACCATGCTCGCAACAGCAATTACACCCGTTTCAAGGCCATCGCTATGGTGATTGCAGCATGCGTTGTGAGTGGAGGCGTCGAAGCGCTTTTGATCCTCACTCTTCGGACACCGTACAATAGAGGCGTCACATGGCCGGCGATGATGTTCGGGATCATTGCGACCATCATGGTTGTGCTGGGCTTGATTCCCCCCTACTTCGAACTGGCGAAGAGGAATGGGCGAGTGATTGGGATCAGTCAGTTATTTCGCCCCTAACATTAGTGAAGATCTTAAAGCTGACGAGATTTTTTTTTCCCAGACTTTGTGTTCCTGTGTACTGACAGCATGGGCGCTCTCTTCTCTCTGCTCTCTTTGGGTAGGTATCTTCCCAGGCCATACAGACCCCTCCAGGCTAACTAGCATGGCACAGCGGCAGAGGGGTCATTCGATATCCTTGGTGGTGTTCTGTACATCCTCTGGTAAGTTGTCCCCTCAGCAGACTACTTCCAACAGGAGTGAAGCTCATTTGTGTCGATTAGCCTCCTCTTGGAGATGGGGATCTATACCAGCCACATCATCTGGCGGCTGCGCAACCGCAAGCTTCTGCGACAGGCCAAGGAATCCGGTCGAACGGTGGACGAGCTCCTCGAGGAACTCGAGCGAGAGACGAATGGAACACGCACGCCGAGTGAGATTGAGAAGGGAGCGCTGCCGGCGGTCGCGGAGATGGACAAGGGCGTGCTGGTCACGGCTACTGGAGACCTGGAGAGTCATGGGACTACGACTACGGACGATTCCGTTTGAACGAACGAGACAGCTTACGACTCTGGCATGATGATAATGATGATTATGATGATAGACACAAGTTAGACGGCGATAATCACTTTGATGATAGATTGCTAGAAGGTCGTTCGATGCAGAGGACTTTCGGGATAGATCTAATTCATTTGTTTCTCGCATTCTTCCAGTCTTGTTTTTCCTGTCTTGTTTTTGTCATTTAAGCTAGTCAATTAATCGAATGAATCAACTCACGCTGAAGATTTATGTGGTCGAATCCTGGAGGACTGATTGATGATTGATTGGGTACACGTCGCATGCCGACTGCTCGTCCCGGAACCCCTAACTGTCGCGGCCAATCATGTACTCGACTCCTCTGTATAGGATGGTGTGGCTGCAGAGACTCGGACGAGCAGAATCTCCCAGTTCGCAGCCCCTGTCAGTAGCATCGCTGTCCGCAGGATGAGGAGCTTTATTTATCGGCCATTGATGAATCAGAACAGACCACATCAGGGCCACAGTCTTCTCCGTCTGCTGAGATCTATAAAAAAGGCAGCAGCCAGATTTAAATGCAACATAGCCGCCTTTACTCCGGACTTCACGAACAAGCCACAAGTCTAGGACGGTCGATCATCACTGGTAATTGGCTGTCTGCACAGCTCCCACGCAGACCAAGACAAGCTGGCCTGGGCTGTCTAGATCTGGCCTTGGAGACAGCCCAGGCCAGCTTTGCCTAAGCTGGAGCTGTGCATGTGTTGTCTCGTTGCCCCTTAGAGATTCTTAACTCTTGACGTGAGGATAACTATGGTGATCTCTTAGAGAGGACAAGTTCAACGTCCTTACTAGTTTTGAATGCCTGTCTTTAAATTCTGGTCTATGCTGTGGCCCTGAGTATTGCTCCAGGCCGTTGCAGCTCACCAGCAGGTGCTGTGGTGTTGCTGGTGTTGCTACGATGAGGTGATCGAACCCATGTAACTCGTTAAAACCGTCGAACTCTCCACGGCTGATCCTCTCCGCTTTTCCCCGCAGCGACCGCAGCAGGAGCAAGGGCAGGAACTGCTGCCCTTTCTCCGTCACGATGCCGGAGCGACTGTTGCGGCTGATGAAGGCGAGGGAGAAGCTGTCGCTGCGGCGGCGAAGGGCGACCCAGGCGGGCAAGGCGGGCGTCGGAGCGGATCCGGAGAACAAGCTGAACAAGCACAAGCACCAGCACCAGCACCACCTCGCCTCCGTCCCTCATCCCCATCGCCAGCAGTCCGTCCCGACCAGCACCGCGTCGTCCCTGCCCGTAGCCCAAGAGAACGAGATCGTGGGCCGTGCTGCTGCTGGAGCTGCGAAGCTCGAGGGAATTGCCGCCAACCCACACTGCGGACCCGGCCAGCTGACGGAGGACGACCCCGACGACGACGAGGGACCACGGCCAGCACAACATCAGGAACCCCAGCTTCGAGGCTCACGCAAGAATCATCCTCTCCAGGACCGTCCCCGCGATCTCCCTCCCGGTCGCCGTACCTCGCTGCGGGATCCCCCTCCCTGCCATTCTTCTGCCAATCCTCCGTCCGCCACCACCACTGCGTCCTCAGCTCCACGCCAGCTCGAGAGCCTCAACGAAGCGGCCTCGACAACAACAAAAGTCCCGGAGCGCGTGGTGAACCCCGCGGCCGGTGGGCCCTTGCATTCCTCGTTCCTGGAGACGGTCGACGAAGAAGACGCCTCCCGCAGTCGGAGCCGTCCTGCTCCCTCCAACAACGACCACTTCTCTCCAGCCCATCCTGCTGGCGTCTCCTGGCGCCCGACGATTGCTGCTCGGAGGCAGTCTCTCCTGCCGCCGTCGCAGCAGCATCTGGTCAACAGCCTGCTCGAGCCCGGGCTGTTCTCTCGCGACGACGATTCCCCCTCCTCTCCGTTCAATCCCGCACAGCTCGAGATGGTGCAACGAAAGGTCTGGGTGAAACGCCCCGGTGCTTCCCCGACGTTGATATCGATCGCCGAGGACAGCGTCGTCGACGAGTTACGGGACCATGTGCTGCGGAAATATGCCAATTCGTTGGGGAGAGTGTATGACGCTCCCGACCTGATCATCCGGATATCGCCCCGCGAGAGTTCCAATCGACCTGCGGCCCCGGACCGGATCCTCAGCCCGGAGGAGCCCGTGTTCCCGATCCTTGATTCCTACTATCCCGGGGGGCAGACGGTCGAGGAGGCCTTGATCATTGATGCCCCTCAGCGCCGCACCCCGAGACCCTCGCCGCGTCAGTCGTACTACTACCATGCGGAGCCCGGGGAACATGGCGAATATTTCCCGTTGATGCCCGTTCCCATCAATGTCGGCACGCCGCCTACCCATCCGTCGAGCTCCATATCGTCGACGAGCGGTGTGAGTGCACACCAGACGCCTTCGATATCCGTTCTCACGACCGGTAAAGTGCCACCTTTACCATCCCCTGGAAACCGTCCCAGTCGGCATGCGGCACGCCGGCCCCCGTATGCTCGACATACCACCAACTCTCCTACGCTTGTGGCTTCGGCGTCCAACAATAAAGGTATAGTAAAGTTACCGAAACTGTCCTTTTTCTTACATTCACTAACGTTGGTTTTTACAGACCCGAATGTCGCGATAAATGGGCAGCCAGCAACGTCCGCTCCATCTCTCCCGACGCCGCCGGCACCGGCGCCGCCACCATCGGAGTCTCCCACAAACCCTGTTCTAAGTCCCAGCGCCCGGGGAGCGTCACCCCGTCCTGGCCGAAATCGCAAGAAAGCAGCAGGATCTCCCCCGGGCAGAGCGGGCTTTGGTGGGCTGATTGAGGGGACCGTGCCCCCGATCAACGTGCTCATCGTGGAAGACAACGTGATCAACCAGAAGCTTCTCGAAGCGTTCATGAAGCGGCTCAGCGTGCGCTGGCAGTGCGCCCCGAACGGCGAAGTAGCGGTGAAGAAGTGGCGCCAAGGCGGCTTCCATCTGGTGCTGATGGATATCCAGCTGCCGGTGATGAACGGTCTGGAGGCGACCAAGGAGATTCGCCGGCTCGAGCGGCTGAATGGCATTGGGGTCTTCTCCAAGACCGCATCGGGCCGGTCGAGTGCTTCGTCGACGACGGCCGGGTCGACAGAGAACCAGGAGCCGCTGAGGAAGGAGGACGTGTTGGAAAACCTGTCCTTGTTCAAGAGCCCGGTCATCATTGTGGCGTTGACGGCCAGCAGCTTGCAGAGCGACCGCCACGAGGCGTTGGCTGCTGGCTGCAATGACTTTTTAACAAAGGTGTGTCGAAGCTGTAAACCACGTCTATCTATAAACTTCACCTAACTAACACCCTTCCAGCCCGTAGGATTTCCCTGGTTAGAACAGAAAGTGACGGAATGGGGCTGCATGCAAGCGCTGATCGACTTTGAAGGCTGGCGGAAATGGCGAGGGTATGAAGATTCGCCTCGCACGCTGACACCAGTACAATCGGGGTCGGCGTCTCCGTCGCCACGCAACAGGGCGGTGCAACCGGCTGGCAAGCTGTCGACTGGGAAAGATGGCAGTAAGGTGACTGTGACGTCGCCGGGGTCGTCGGGGAGTGGCAGCAGCGAAGAGACCGAGGTTCCTTCAGAGACGAAGGCAACCAAAGCGAAGACCAATGGAGGGTAGTCGACTGGACTCTCATTACAGTCTGAATGATCATTACGATGGTCTGTTCAGGTTTATGATAGAATGATCTCTGCATGAAGGTACCATTTATTATCTATTATCTATCCATTTTCCTGTATAGTGGATATGTCGGACATGTCATGCCTTTTCCTCGTCTTTTCTTTTCTCTTTCTTTCAGGGTCTTATTCTATCCGCAGGGTCTTTCGGATTTCCTTCCTTTTTATCAGATACCCGATCTAGCAGTTTGTTTGCCTTTTTTTTTTCGTTTTTGTATTTTTGTCGACGATCAACATTGTCCAGTCTCAGCAGCATTTATTTTTATTCCATGGGCAAGGCAGTTTTTTTTTCCCATGTATTTATTTATTTATTTAAGTGCGGTGCGGCATGTGTGTATGTATGTCTTAAACATGCCAGATGAATGTTACTGGCGTACAGTACAGTCCAGTACAGTACATTGATTGAGGAAGGGCTTATCTATTATCTATATATAGATGTTTATTCTTGGTACTGCTAGCAGTATTCGAGGGAGTACTTTACGTTGAAGTATAAGACTAGCCCTGTAGTGTATTGTATATTTACGTGACGTGACTCAATCTTGTTTACAATTCCTATTCCTTCGTACAGAGTACTGTACATGTACATACGTATCTACATACACACAGTACTAGCTAGCTGCTAGCTAGCTAGCTACCTAGGTATGCTCCGCTATGCTATGTAGCAATCATCAATGACAAGACTGGGGTTCGATCCCAGGACCTTATTGGCACAGTCTTGTCTTGCCCATCCCTAATGGCAATGCCTCTACCCATAGGGGGTGTTGACTGTTAACGATACGTAATAACAAACTACGAAAACTGGATGTTGTATATCCTCGTTTTTTCCACTCTTTTTTTTTTTCAGGAGTTGTGAAGGAAGGGATGAGTTAATCTATCTATCTCTATCTAATTGGTATTTGTGTATGTATTTATTGATCGATTAATCAATTAATTAATTAAGATTAAGAGGTTAGATTTATATTAGATATTTATTTAATATTGTTGTTATTTGAGGAGAGAAGAAATCAATGATCGAAGTTATATATCTGTATATTTTCGAGGAGAAGAGGGGGAAAAGTAGGAATTCCGTCTCATCCATAAAAGTACTAGCAGAATAACGTGCGACTCTCTGTCTTTTTTTTTCCCTCCTGCCGCCCACCCTCCCTGCAAACTGATCGATTGTATATCTCGTATATTTCATCATGCAGGTCCAGCCTGCTTGTCATAACATAACTCAGATCCGACCTGACCAACCCAACCCAACCCAACCAAACCTACCCAAGACAACCAAAACCAGACTTTTCTATATATACAGGAATGAGAAGAAAGGAGATTTTCTCTTAATACCCCAAGTCGAACAGATCAAGCGAAATAACTTTGCGAGAGCTGGCTTCCCCCCGGTAAAAGATTCTCCTTCAACACATTGAGTTCATTCCTCAACAGTCGGTTCTCCTCCTGCAGCTCCCGGATGTACGCCAGCGCGCCGGTCAGGATCTCCGACTTGTTCTGTGGTGGCTGCTCGCCAAAAGTCGACTTGCGTAACCCCTTGTTTGTGCTCTGTGATAGGTGGGCGGCGGACTTGGGGATCGCATTGCCCAGGGCGACGAATTTGGCGTTCATGTTGGTGCGGTAGCGCTTCTCGATTGCGTTGTGTGCTGCTTTTTTTCGCTTCATCACTGCATTGGTGTCTGCGTCTGTTGTTGTGCATTTGGAAGACGTTGACTGTGACGTCGACTGTGATGTCGACTTGGGCGATGCCTTTCGAGTTGTCGTGTCTTCTTTGCTTGACGACGACGACGACGACGACGTTGATGATGTTGCTGCCGATGTTGCTGGTGTTGTTGTTGTGTTTGAAACGGTCTTCTCTGAAAGGTCATCCTGTGCAGCTGAGCTGGGAGATCTCTTTGCCGGTCTGTCGAAAATACTGTCCGTCGACGGGCGCTTCATCCTAGACTGGGTAGGTGACCTGGGTGCCGACGAGGACCAGGCATCGCTTTCGGCATCCTGTGCATGTCAGTAAGAGCCTACTCTGCTGCTATAGGCAGGTGACACACTGAAGCCAGCGACGAAAACGAGAGCGCATCCTCCGGAGCTTGTCTGGACGAGGAGTTATAATCCTCCGGGGAGGCAGACGTGCTGGTCGTATAAGCTGGGGGATCGACAAAATCATTGGCGACGTCAAATGGCTCGTCAAACGGCATATCCCAGGAAAAGAGGTCGAGAGCATCCTTCCCCATCCAGTCGGTACTCGCATCTTGGAATGGCATGAGAGAAGAAGGGTCAAGATGGGGGTCTTGGAAGACGGCCATGTCGGAGATCATGGACGGTTCGAATGGTGGTTGGTAGCCAGACATGCCGTCTGCAAGTCTATATAATATACCGCCATTAGCAGGTCAATTTAGGTGGGCTATGTTGGATGGGTCATACTGAGAGCTGTTGGCTATCAAGGTACCACCGGTACCGAAGACACTATAGAAGTGCAGGTGCACTATAATCTGATTCTGCAGGTCTGATAACAACTGGTCGACTAGAGATAGAGATCAACTAGTAAACTAGTATGAGTCTGACAGTTGAGGGGCGTGAGATCGACACCCTTGATATATCTTGCATCGGGCCAAAGTTACCTGCGGCGGGCGTCTTCCGCGCCGGGCAATCATCATTCAGCATTATATTACTACGGTATATTAATTGAAAGCTTCAATGCAGCCTTCCTGCTCTGTCGTGCAGCTCAGTGACAGCTCCCGGCGGGGCGACCATCCAGCCTTTGTCCGCCGCCTTGGCAGCCACCTCCCTCCAGCCAATCAGAATGCCCGGTGCACAACGTCTGTCCCAATCGGGCTAGCGCAGGGCGGTCGGCGCCGAGAGCAGCTCTTCGGCCGAAGATCGGTCATTCAGACGACGCCAGACAGTCCAGACAGTGCATCACCGCTCGGCTCGGAACTTCCTCGAGATCGATCGTACTATGTCGAGACGGACCTGCGATGATTCAATTGTCTTGCTTCTCGTTGGCTGTGTCAGCGCTGTCGGAGAGCGCCGATGCAATGATGCCATTTCTCGGAATCCTGTCACCGGAGTAGCGTTTACCCAGGCATTCGTCAGACCAGATATCGTCAATGTTTCAATATGTATTCTCACTTTCTTCCCCAGATGAAATGCATCCAGATGGGTGGATATTCTGGGTGGATATTCGGGAGAAACCGCGCAGAAAATACCGAGTAGTACTCCGTACATAGCCATTGACCTTACAGCAGCAGCAACGGTGTTGCATCATTGCTGTCTACACTGCAGTATGTAGGATTTTGTTATAGTATAGTAATAGTATAGAATACTCTGGAATGATTTCATTCCAGCCAGGAATGGATTTTCTCGCATATACCTACCTAATTCATCGATGATTGATGATCGATGGTCATATCGGGTCCGAACCGTAACCGAACCCGATTCGAATCCAAGGTAACGCCCTTGCAGAATTACTGCTAAACATACTCTTTTTTTGTGTTTTGGCAGTCACGGGACTTTTAGCATTCAGCATTCCTGGGTGAACGAACTGCACCAGAGGTACATGTACTGTACTGTACATGTACCTAGGTAGGGATCTGTCTAGCTGATTGGCATGACTCTCACTTTTTCGATTGGTTCGAGGATGATGTACGCCTGTCATCTGACCAGTCGTCAATTAATTACGTTGTGTGCAGTTAGTAGCGCTTTTTTTGACAGTGTAAACATTAATGAAAAAAAAAAAAGAAAGAAAAGAAAAAAAAAACAAGCTAATGCAAATCATATTATTTGATCTTTAAGACTAGATATGGATAATATTCAGCTGACGTCAATTAATACTAATCAGGAAAAATAAAAGACAATCTCTATTAACTATTGTTAAAGAATCGATATACAGGCTGGTTGACTCATTAAGACACTGATAATGACGAACAGTCATCGATTACGTGAATTCCACGTTTTTCGCCATTTGTTACGGAAATACAGCTGTGATTGTTATTACTATAGTATCATTGATGAAAATGACCTGTTTTTCCCGAACAATTGATGCAGACTTGCTTAGCTTATTGCTTATACTGAGATTCCGTCGCAATTTATATATGTACTCAATACAGGAAGTACATCTGTCTGAGGATTAAAGTCCCCTTTGTTTTTTTTTTGACCTGCCAACAGAATCACCAATTATGTTGAATAGTATCTCTTGCCTTTACGACTATTTGATTGTGTTGAGATAATTACATGTAGTAGTGTTAGCAGTATTTTATTCCAAAACGTCAACAGAATAAATGCGATTGAATCTGTCTGACAATAGTCACCTTTCACAATATGTAGTTATTCCCTGCTTACCACTGATCATACCTCGTGCATGATGCTATCATAATTATTCATTGTCATTATTGTTCATACAATTCACAATCAAGCAAATGCCTTATGATCAATTATTATTTTTTTTAATTTTTTTAAAGCGAGGATCCTTGTCAGCGGATGTGGCGTGATGGTTAGTCTCCCGGCTGATCCTCAACTCCGATTCCGTCCTTCGAACGGGACATTTCGGAATGAAGAAGCCCTAGCTGTAGGTACTCCGTACATACCCTTGAAGACAGGCATGCCAACTGTACTATACTGTAAGGATGATCATTGTCACCCGTTCCGAGATCGAAACCTGGAATTATGCCCGGAGTACGCCGTATGACGAATTTTGCTTTCCGCAGGTCTTCATCTCTCCGATCAGTAGCTTTTTTCTCTATTGGTTTATTTCCTCTTTTTTTTTTTAAATTGAGTGTTTTTCAATATGATCAGACAGTACTGGGCGTGCTCTTGTTAGAAGATTTGAACATCATACACATCAAGTTCTGTCAATCCCAGAAGATGCAACAGTTAACACTATATGATTTCATGCTCTATTGACGTTGTACAGGTCTCTAATACCGATACAAGAATAATAGCATGTTGTCATCCCTCACAATGCAACATCTCACGCGATTTTCACTACCTCTGTGAGCGAGCGATGGAGCGGACGAATGCTCTGTTCAAGGATAACTACCTATCGACAGATGCTCCAGCTCGTGCCTTTAAGTCTTGACAAGGCTGTCTCTGTCAGGCTGAATTCTAGGCATCCGATAGACATCGCATAATATCTTTTTACGCTGCTCTATCCTAGTCTGCGGTCCATTCTGGGTGTTCCTGATCATATCCCCAAAGAGGGCTGATATGGATGAGCAGCTGCAATGAACTGAACGCTGGTATATCAGGCTCTTCGATCTGGCCTTATTCGACTAGTTTTAATGAGATAACCTACTCCGCTGATGGATATGCTCTACGGCGTTGGGAACTCTCTGCCATGAATGGCATTGCCGGAGCATACAGTACTCAGAGCATGAGACTATGCTCGTCGAGCTCTACATGTACTATACAGTACATGCTCCAGAACGATACGACTGCAGCACTCAAACTCACTGCTTAAGCAGCAGTGAGAAAGGAATGCAAAGGATTAAAAATTGATTCTGGAGAGACCTGACCAATATAGAAGAACATTCAGTTCGAGAAGTAGGTACATGTAAGCATAGATATGTTTCTAACACTCCCTTTGTACAGTATAAAGTACATACACACAACCTGGACCAGGATGCTTTGAGCGGAGATGGACCCGATGGACGTAAATACCTCCTACCTAATAAAGGTAATAGCTGTCAAATGACCCCATACTTTTATATCACGTGACATATCTAACCTAGTAGCTTATTAGTCAGCACGCACACATTTTCGATATCAAATATTATTGTGCATACAACAAAAATAATTTCTTCTTATCTTGCTCAGCCCCTTTGTCAACGTCAGACAAACCAACCCGGTCTTAGCCCAGCTCTTCAGTTCAGCAGCATCAACCAAAATGGCCAAGGCAAAGAAATCCAGCGACACCATCAGCTCCCGTCTCGCCGTTGTCATGAAATCTGGCAAGGGTGGGTAGTCCATACATACCTAACTATACATATCTCACAGAGTGTACTAACAGTTTTTCTTTTTTTTCTTGGTTTACAGTGACGATGGGAATGAAAACAACCCTGAAATCCCTCCGGGCTGGTAAAGCCAAGCTTGTGCTTATCGCTGGGAACTGCCCTCCGCTGCGCAAGTCTGAGCTTGAATGTATGTCACTCACCTCCTCCATCAACACCTTATTCTTTGAGAAAAGAAACACAGACTAATTATTAATTGTGATAGACTACGCTATGCTGGCTAAATGTCCTGTTCACCACTTCAATGGCAACAATGTAAGTGTGATTTGACCCTCCCTCCCTCCCTAACAAATAGCAATATATCATAGACTAGATATACACAGTGTTACTACTGCTATTACTATACACTGTGTATATCAGTCAATCGATCAATCGAGCTTAGAGGCAAAACTCCGTTTCTCGGAGAAAAAAAAACGCCCACTTCTTATCTTCTCTACAATAAGATAAGAACATTCATTATAAACAAACAAACGAAATGACCGAACCAACCAACGAACGGACGAACCAACAATAAAGATAAGAAGGGGCGTAGTCAACCAGAGAGCGGAGGAATTGCTTTGAGAAGGAATCTCACAAAAAGAAAAATCCTTTATGAAGAGTGGATTCTGGAGAGCGGGGAACTTTTACTAACGTATTTTTCTTTTTTCTTCTCTTTTTTTTGTTGGCGTCTACAGATCGAGCTCGGAACGGCTTGTGGTAAGCTCTTCCGCTGCTCTGCCATGGCGATTCTTGACCCCGGTGACTCGGACATTTTGTCCCAGGGCTGAGCGTGAGCTTGGTCCTGAGGCTGAGTGCTGAAGCTGAGCCTGCAGCTGAGGCTCAAGCCTTGACGAGTTTTCTTTCTCTGACGAGTTTTCTCGTTAAGAGGTGTTGAGGATGTTGAGGGGGGTGGGAAATGATGATGATGATGATGATGGATGGATGGATGGATGGATGGATGGATGGATGGATACATAGTCTGCATGCAAGCGCTGTCCTGCTGCGTTACTGTGTGCCTATCTATCTATGTATGTACATGCCTAGGTAGGGCTGTACCAATGCAGGCAAGTTGTGTGTGTCTCTACTGTGATGAAGGAATTATCGCATATCCTCATTATAAATCGTATACCTATGAAGCTCAAAAGACCAATTCACTTCCTATAGAAGTGCTCTGTCTATCTATCTATCGACCTACCATGGGGTGATGAGGTCCTTTACAGTGTTGTCTCAGGTACTGTATAGATGTTATATTCCTTTGTATGTGGTGGATATGTTCAAACCAATGCATATGTTAATGAATTCTGTATTAACATATTGATTAATAGCTTACTTGAATACTGCTATAGCAGAATTTCCTTAGAGATTCTCTCTGGTATAAGATTCGTTATCACTCCTGGTTGAAATAGCAATACAGTGAAACAGTTAAGAGTGCAGTTTGGTTCAGATCATTACTATTATCATTGGCCTTCATGCCGGTCAGGCCAGATACATTGACATATGGTATAGTAATACATCGAGGTACTGTACATGAATGCAAAACAATCACTGACCAAGAATGAAACCCAAGAAACCGCGTTGCCGTATCGTAAAATACACTGCCGAGGGAAAATTCAAACTTCGACCTTGGTTGGAATCTTGACATGGCCCTTCTTCCGGTCCTCCAAGGGCACTCCATACCGGTGTCCTGGAGCTGCAGTCCCACGTCCGTCAGGACCAGTGGTCTCCTTGCTGACCACGACGTCCTTGAACCGGAACTCGAATCGAGACCCTTCTGGCTGCACCTTGGTTATCCGCTTCTCGAGCTGCTCCTTCGCCTGTCTCCTCCGCTCTTGCTCGGCTTCCTCCACTTCCCGGAGGCGCTCCTCATATCTCTGCATTCGCTCGCGGTGTTCTCCTGGGTTTTCAAGACGATCGCGCTCGAAAGTGACCAGATGTGGGTGAGGAATACGGCAGTCCGCCGGAAGCAGGACTTCATGTTCCTCGTCACCCTTTCCAACACGCTCTATCTGTTTTGGATTCCGCATGAGCTTGCTCGTCGTCTCGGACGGGTCTTCGAGGTTGACCGGTGGCTCCTTGTCGTGTTCCACAGCCGGGGCACCTGAAAAGACCCGACCGGCGTCAACACGAGTAAATTGTCGTGACTCAGACACAGGCCAGAATATTTGTGGATCAGTCAGCCGATGGACTGGGAGATCATTGATCGATTCATGCGGTTTCTGACGCTGCCCTGGCTCAGCCAGCGGTGTCGTTGGGACCATCTCATGAATGGCCCGTGCATATGGAAGAGCAAGAGGTTTCCCCTATTCCGGACTTGTCAGCATGGCAGCAACTCCTATAATGCCTTGAACTATATGTAATCGTGACAATAGGTTGCTTCAGAGAGTTGTAATTTTTGGGTATTCATCCTCATGCTGGGAATGAATGCATGAGTCTTCAAGACTAATCGATTTTGCTCATCATCGCAACCAAAGGACGTCAAAAAAAGGATATAGGTATTGGAATCATAAGAACGTACCTGCTTTCTCCATCTTTTTTCCAACTCCACCAGCCTCACTACTGCAGCAACCCTTCTCATATCCACGCCAAACTCAACACTGACAGACCGCACGCTCTTCTTTTGTTCTACGACTCGCTTGTAGATCTCATTGCGAAGCGCCTCGCTCAGGATAGGTTCGCTGACGAACGCGGGGTTGAGAGGAAAAGGCCTATTACCGCCTGCCGGGGCGGTCTCCTCTTCTGCCTCGCCAGCGTTGGATGGATCCTTCAATGCATTCTCTCGGGCCCTTGCCGCACTATTCCGCTCTTTCAGGTCGGTAAGGTAGTTTGTACTACCGGGAATGTGATGTTTCAAGGCAGCGCCCTCTCCGTTCAACCATTCGAACATACGACTCCGTAGTCGGGTTTGAGGAGTGAATGAGGATGAAAAAGGGCGTTGAGAACATTGTGACTTGCAGTTTGATAGTAGAGGCGAGGAATGAGAGGGATTCTGAAGTAGGGAGACGGAGGAGGAGGAGGAGGAGGAGGAGGAGGAAGTCGAGGATGCGGAGATGTAGGGGAGAAGGGAATTGGTGACCCGAGAGCTGTTTACTCGGGGAGGCATGATGAGTGGTGTAGAAGGGGAAGGTGATTAGTCGTGAAGAAAAATCAAAAGTATAATACAAAATAGAAAAAGAAAAAGTCAATTGGATTGAATGTTTATAGATGTGAGGGTTTGAAGTGGTGCTGATCAGGAGCTCAAGCACCCTTGGGAAGAGAGGAAAGGAAAAGAAAGCGAAGAAACTTTTTTCTGTAACAGTTTGTTGGTGCAGTTGCATGGTTTGCATAGAGTCACGTGATACTGGTATACAAACAACGCCAGGTATCAGAGCTCCGCCCTTAGAATTTAGAGCAATCGACGGAATACTGAGCACTGCGGATAACGTGTCTATGGAGTAATACTGAAAAGACAATGGGATTAGACTTGGCTTGAAAAATATCTCAATTTTGATCTACACTGTTCGTTTCGGGAATACCATTCTGAGTACTTTATTGTTGCTAATGCCCACGATTTACAGTCTAGCGAAAGACACGGGAAGGCTCAGGGAAGGCAAGAAGTCTGGAAAACATGTTTTGTGTTGACTATAAGAAGAATAAAAAAGACAGTCAAATGAATTTCTCACCAAGTGAAAGAAAGCAAAAGATTTGTCACTGTTAAAAGCAAATGAGGAATCAAATACAGAAGGCAGAACGCTCCAATCCTGAGAGCCTGCTCGACTAGCACATCTGACAAGATAGCGCACCTCTTTTTCCATGTCCCTATCCCGTACCTTGGAGTTCGCACCGCTCAAGCGCGCAGCGGAAAAAAAATGCAGCATAAGAAGGCAACGAAGATCAAAGTAACAGTGATTAAGAATAACACAAAAAAAAAGGGGGGGGGAGGATGAAATAGCCATAGAGTGAGGAGAAAGGGCATGTGTATGATCCAAAATGCTGCCAAATCCATAGACAAATCCACAGTTAAACGCCCTCTTACAGTGTAGAAACAGATCAAGCGCCAGTGATGTGTAACTGTGTAGTATATATCAAGATGATCCCTCGCAATGGCCGCCAGGACTCCTTGGCAGGAAGACTGCGCAATGCTGCAGAATGAAATGAGATGGCGGGACGCCTGAGCCAAGAGGGAAACAGGATGCAAACAAAGGTGACGCAGTGTAGCGTTCAGAGGACTTGAATGTGACATGGGGTACATGTCAGATAAGAAAAACGAGGACACAACCAACCAGTTTGCTCTCACACCAACATTAATCATCCATGATACTTGTACGCCATGAGATGGATGCTTTTGTTTGCAAAGGGGGAATCATGGTAACGAGACAAAAGGGGAATGGAAAAGCAATTTCACAGACCCGTCTCCGCCCAAATAACTGGGAGGCACAAACGACTGTGGAAGCCGATGAAAGGGTACGTCGTCAAGTAAGGGGAAATAGGGTAAAAAAAAATAACTAGCAGGGCGAATCGCTCCAGCCTGCAAGCCGACAAGAAAAATGCAGGTATTTCGAAGGGTAAGAAAGAACATGTCGACCAAAAGTCACGCCGTGTGAATAAAAAAAAAAGAAAAAAAAAAGAAAAGAAAAGAAAAAGACCGAACCCAAAAAAGCAAGGGAAGAGAGAAAAAAAAGAGTACACGAAAGATCAGCGGCACCAAAGTGAAGGGAGGAAAAAAAGAAAACCTCCAAATGCCGTTCTAGCTCATGAAACCCCGAGACCCAAGCGCCAGAAAACCCAGTTATCATCAAACATGCCAGACATTACCGATGCGTGATATGATTCTGTGTGTTTCCCCGTTTGTTTATCGACCCATCATATAGTCAGGATACATATTGCCATAGCCGCCCATGCCCGGACCCGCCGTGCCACCCGCGATCCCGCCGCCGAGAGGCGCTGTGGTGATGGCATTCATGCCGTTAGCTCTCATACCGAGTCCACTGTTGGCACCATATGGAGCGCCATTTGCCATGGAAGCATGTGGATTTCCTGAAGGGGGCATGGTTCCGTTTCTCATTCCCATCGGAAGCGCCAGGCCAGGAGGAGCAGAGAGCCCTGGAGGAGGCCCACTGGCGGTCGAAAACATCGGGTTCGACATGCCCCCAAGTCCATTGACTCCGTGCATTGGATTTTGAGGATTGTGCTGATTAGAAGCGTTCGCATTGTTGTTAGGTTGCGAACTCCGTACTCCGAGAGGGTTCTTGGAGAAACTCAGACGGATTCCCGTCTTGACACTGTTGGAAAGCTTGTACCCATACAGCTCATTCAGTGCCTTGCTTGCCATCGCCACTTCGTCGAATTCGACAAAGCACATGGGACCGTTCTGCTTGTTTCGGAAACAGAGTCGCTTGTACCCTCGCTGCTTGGAAAAGAGTGCTTTCAGCTCTTCCTCCGAAGTGTCTGGCGGAAGGTTGCCGACATAGAGTGTATTGCAGGGAGGGTTCAGGTCATTTGGATTGGCAGCGGGGAGACTGTGCCGAGGGTTATGTTGATTGGGATAGTGAAAAGTTGGATTACCACCCATGTTCGCGTTGACATTGGGAGGAAGAGTGGTTGTAGGTGTCGGCACTCCCATGCGTGCTGAACCACCGGCAGAGTAATTCGGCATAGGCGGCGACGTGACGTTGGTAGATAGCGAGAGCGCAGCGAATCGACTGGTCGGAATCTGAGGATTTGTGGACCTTCGCGGCATGGGGGGCATGGAGCTGGCGTGGCCGTTTTGGGCGTAACCGACAGGATCCTTGAGTAGCTCTCCAGTCTCCTCGTCCGGATCCTGATCAATAACCGACTTTCCGCTCACACGCGGTAGCTCCCCGATTCCATTTCCCAGGGGGGACTGGGGTGAGAAGAGGCTGTGCAAACGGGAGTTGGTATCGGGAGCCGGAAGGGCATCGCTGCTGTTGGACTGCGATGACGCTCCATTGGTCGTGGAGAGCCGTTCCAGGGTCTGAAATGTGCCGTTGAACCGTGAAGACTGTCGCGGGAGAGAGCCGGCTGTCGGCATGGGGCCCGACAGACCGCGGGTGGCGGGGTGATCGATGGTGTTCCGTCGATTTAGAAGAGGTCCCTGATACATTTCGACGATCATATTGGCTTCATTGGTAGTGTTCGGCTTTCCATCGAGCAACGATCGGGCTTCTTCGGCAGCCGCGACCGTGTTGAAACGCGCAATCGCACTCAAAAAGTTCTTATCCTCTGGATGCTCGGACGGGACAAAATCAGCGTCCACAAAATCCTTCGCAAAGAGAAACATGCTCCGGAGCGCTTCGCGACTGGTGCTCTTGGGGAGTTTGCGCATCAATATCGCCGCGCCGCTACCCATCCGGGGAAGCCCGTTGAGGGGCGGAGGCGAACGATCCGAATCCGCTAGGCGCATGGTGTTGCAACCCAGACCGTCAAACGATGTAGCTGGTCCGATCGGGGGAAACGGATATGAGAAGGAGGTAGTCAAAGGCGCGGAGGTTTGGGACACGGATGGATTCTGCACGTCGGTCGACATGGCATTCTGCGCCCCAGACGGCCCCTGAGAAGACGGGAGGGATTGGTGCGGCGGCGAGGAGCTCGAAGACACGGACCGCTGGGCGGTGCTGTAGGACCCAGGGCTGGTGCGGCTGGACTGACTAGACGAGCTGTCGACCATGCCTCGCCAACTTTGGCCGCTGAAGGAATCTGCCTGTAGCTTGGTGATTGCACGGTCGCGTCTGAATTAGGGTTCGGCTTGATGTGTTGGAAGTCTGCGCGTCGCGATAAGGATAACAGCACGCTATGCTAGGATGAGATCTGGTGGCAACGGGATGACTCGATGAGAATATGACTGTCCCAATCCAGTATTGTAACTCTCGTCCGAGGGGATCAAGACACGACCATTTCTCTCTCTCTCTCTCTCTCTCTCTCTCTCTCCGTTACTCTTTCTCTCGCGCGCCGATCGAAGCAGGGATGACAGCGGAAGCGACGCGACGGACTTTTGCTTGTGGCAGTGAGAGCGCGGTACGACACACGTAATCACAACGTTGCGAAGCGATGGGCGACCCGATCGTGCAAGACAAAAGGAGTGCAAGAATAGCGAGACGTAGATAGGCGCGACAAGACGACGACGATGCTAGGGATGATGGGCGACGGCGATACTGGAAGGAGAGCAGTGTGGGCAGGAAGAGACGTCGCTGGACGGTCGAGACACGACGTGGTGGAGGATGATGGAGGGAGAGAGAGCAGGCTCGAGGATAAAGTTGGGGGGGGGAGGAGTGACAAGGTGTGGGCGGTGATGAAGGTCGCGGCCAGGAGACGATCTGACTGGAGAGGCCGGAGGAGGGCAGTAATGTCTGATCGAGCCGGGAACGGTCTGGCACGCCGTAGGGGGACGCTACCCAGCAGCGCTCCTACGGGGGCTGGGCGAGGAGACTGAAACGGGGGAGTGCAGGGCAGGAAGCTTCTGTCTCCTTTTTGGCGCGGGCGCTGTTTGGCTGCAGCTCCGACACGCGCTGGGCCAGCGAGTGAGCGCGCGCGAGGGTCGAGGCTAGGACGAAACGGAAGCAGCGCCAGCAGCCCCAAGGGACAGGAAAGCGCGACCCGGAAGCGCAAGAGCAGTGCTCGAGGCCCCACTAGCTCTCCCGGGGGGGCGTGTGCTGCGTCGATCCCAGGAGAAGACGGCGCCGGCGACAGGCTAGCACGGGGCGAGGCGGCGGGCGACGAGTCAGCGGCGAGCAATGCCGGCGAGCGGGCCCAGCGCAGCGAGGGAGCCGAAGCTGGCGGCGAACGTGGGCAGGTGCGTGCGCGGACGGCAGCGCAGAGGATGGGCAAGCGCAGCCGGAGAGGGAGCAGGAGCCAGCAGCGACGGAGCCGGCAAGTGGAATGCTGGCTGTGGCGGACGCCGATAACAACGGCACGGGGGGCGCGATGCTGATTGCTGGGACGCAGCGCGGCCTGCGACTGGCTGCAGCCAACGCTGGAGGGCGGCCGCGAGCCGTGGGTGGCACACGCTAGGCCCAAATGGGGCAAGCGCCCAATCACGCCGGTGTGGCTTGACGCTGCCGACTCGGAGCCTGGCTGCCTTACGGGCAGTGGACAATGGATTATCCAGGTGGGGAGTCGCTAGGGTCCTTGCAGTAGCCTGCGTCGAGACTCGGCGGGCGCTGCTCTGCTCTGCAGATTCGCGCACGGCGCACGCCCAACGGCCGACGACACGGCGAGGATCTGGTCGGCGCGACGATATTATTCGCTCAGCCTCGAGGCGTTCGGCGACAGCAGTGAGAGAACCGTTCGAGGGTTCTCTGCGAAACGACGAGATGGCCCAAAGGCCGGCAGACAGCGAGCTGGAGTCGCGACTTGCGGCACGGACGACGGTGACAACGCGCGAATGGATCGGCGATGCTGCCCTCGCAAGAAGCAAGCAGCAGGCAGCGTTGTTGCAGTAGCACGACGCTTTGTTGTTTCGCGGTGAAGCCAATGAAGACGTCTTCTTCCCCGGAAACTTGACCCGGCCGATTCTGCCCGATGCGTTGGTTGGAAGAGTTCAACAGTCAGCTCAGATAATAATAACTGGCGTGCGATCCTGTTGTGGTCTTCAAGAGGTGGTACAGAAGAGAGGAAAATCGATGGTTTTGGGGAGGAAGAGACAATGGCGAGGCAACCAAGAATGAGGGGCAATGATTAACCAGAGCTCCTGCTTGGCAGTTTGGTTACCAGTTCCCTCCTGTCGGCTTGATCCTTCAGGTGAATCACGAGATAAGGCACAAGCCGCTGAGATCGGAGTGAGCCCTTGACAAAGAGCTGCAGAAGCTGCGCCGCTTGGTCTGTCCTCTCAACTTGAGCTTATATTGATCTCACAATCGAGCTCGAGCAGAGTTATTGGCCCACAGCATATACTGGAAGAGCTGTGGGGGGTGGAGAGATACAGAGGTCTAGATGAAGGAACGTTGGACGAGAAACGATCTCAGCTTTGATCCTCCTCGTCGAACTAGACGTCTCATGTTGTATCATCCATGGTTTACTGCGTGCGGTGCTTGGAAGAGGGGATTCCGTCCGCTGGACCAGTTCCTCCTCCACTTATCCAGTTAGGCCTTGTGACGTCTCCCCCATACCCGTAGGGTGTAGTACTCCTCATACCGCTCTCTCGACCATGGCTCCTTGCCAGGCAGCCATGGATTATCGACTAGGTACGGAGTAGTTCGAGAGGAGGAGCAAGTCCATGATGCCATTACATGTCACTGCACTGGTCACGAGCGTGGTGATCTTCAGCCAGAATGGATCTGCAATGATCCATCGGGCCAACCATCTCCAGGTACGACCGATCGAGGCAAAAGCCGCAAAACAGTAGGTACATTCAATACAGACGAGCTTTATCCAGTACAAACATACTCTATGCATTCGCAGAAGTCCATATACGTTCTCCATACAATTACCAACAATAGCAGCGCGGGGTTTGCGCCCTCTCCTCCCCCTCCCTTCCCCCCAGGTACTATTTTAAAGTTACTGTAGTTTCACGCGACCCCCTGGACATACTTTTTCGCAGTACCTTCCATGTCAAGCAAGACAAGCCAAGAATGATGGCTTTCATTCGTGCACATTAGTGATCCCACACGGGGCTCTCGACCTGGCCGGTCATTCGCGAACTGGGCGGCAATCACGCGTTTCTCTGCCCGCTATGGTTGGCTGGTTGGTTCAAGGTTGGCCTGGCC